CAGGGCGGACGCCTCCCGCGAGGGAGGATAGCTCAAGCAAACCTACTGGGTATGGAGGTTGCGTTTTTGCTGTGAGCGAAATAAAAGCCAACCAATTCCGATCCTTGGGAATATGAAAACGTCGTGCCAGCGAAGATCCTAAGGTCCTCTCTCTCTCTCTCTCTCTCTCTCTCTCGCTCTCCCGGGCATTCAGCACGTCAATCCTGATGTCCTCAACCATAACACCCGTGCCTGGAGCTGCTTCGTCGAAACATCTCGCTGCAACTCCTCGAGCTCTGCTTTCATCTGCCGCCGCTCGCCTCCGCAAGAAAAGCAATTTGCTGAATATAGAAATACCATTATATAGGATTTAGGCAACATACAGTGCACTACACAATAAACTATGACGTATAGATCAGCATGACGACGACAGTAGTGATGGCGGTTGCATGATTAGGATGATGACGACACACGCATGGCAGTGGCCAACCTGGCGGCAGAAACGCTGTCTGAATTTCTTGCAGAATACCTACTACAGGCTCATAGTCAGAGATATTATGCTACTAGCCGTCGTAGGAGGTCAAACCACTACTAGTTCAAGGGGCAGTGCAAGAGCCTATAGCAGTAAATCGTCGAGGGAATGCTAGTGGCAGCACTAGTCGCTTGCTCTGGTTGTCGCTCTAATGGCCCATGGCCCATAGTGGATAGTCCCGACTGCCTGCGGTGCCAAAAATGTGAAGAAGGTCCGCCGGCTCGTCCACATGCAGCCTCGCGCCCGACTCGGAAACAGAAGGAACCCAACAGCCAGCTCGTCTCCGGACCCTCAAAACATAATCTACAACACCCAAGTGAAAAAACAAATAGAAGTGTGTGTGTGTGTGTGTGTAGTGTGTGTATATATATATATGTATATATATATATATGTATATGTATATGTATATGTATATGTATATGTATATGTATATAAGTACATGTATATGTATGTATGTGTGAGTGCACATATACTTCTAACATTCTGTAAATAAACAAATATGAACCCATATATATATATATATATATATATATATATATATGGACGCTTCATAGACTTAATGTATGTTACACAGAAGTAATTTTGCCAAGGGACTTGCCAGTCAGGCGTCTGGGAAGCACATGGCGAAAGTATGGGCCACTTTGAGAAGGCAGTGCCACCTAACGTCAAGACATCCACGCAGGGTCCCTCATGGGATTTATGAATTCTTGGTGGCTCAATCGATAATTCAGTTTACCCGACCATCCCAGTGGCTGCGACTGTGTGAAACTGGGGTAACTTGGGTCGTAGCCGCCCCTTTTCTTTCTCCATCTCTCGCTCGCCCTCTCTTTTCAACCGACGATGCTTCCGGTTGAAGTTTTTACATGCCTGATTCCAGTAGCGTATTTTGAGCCTCCCTCGCCCGGTCTTCTACTCTCCAAGAAACTCGAGCCTGCTCCCACACGCGAGCCGTCTCGTCCACAATGGCTTTCACAAGAGCCTCCACACTCGTGACCTGGCATTGGAGAGCAGGACACCCACCATGCAGCCGCAAGACTGAGAATCAAAGGAGGATCGCTAGAAAAGGAGCGGCAGCAATAACAGTGCTTGTAACGAGAGACCATGGCCACAAATGACGAGTGCTGGCCAGGACAGCCGCGCGATCAACATCTTAGAAATAAAAGAAGATTCGACATGACAGCGTTATTACTACGAATAGAAAGAAGAACAAGCAGTATTCTTGTTTGAGGCTGAACTCCAAATCCTGAGCGGTGGCCACGCCCTGGCCATTTTCGACACCATTGAATCCCTTCTTTTGCTACTGGCCTTGAGGACTAGCCAGATCTGCTCGACCTCTATCTCTATCATCCACCGGCGGCCCGATCCCCGGAAGAGCCACTGGCACACGACATCACATTGACAAAGTGGTTCTTCTCATGGTGCTTCTTGTGTTGTCACTATATATGCCCCGCTCTCGTGTTTTTGCTGTCCAGTGTGCAACATAGCGGAACCTCTCCGCAGTCGCCACCGATGTGGGCACAGTGCCGCTCTCGCTCGGAATCAAACCTGGGAAGGACATGCTCGATATCTCTGTGCATATATACAATATGAGTATACATGTATATATATATATATGTACATAGGAGATGTATGAAGAACAAGCCATGGCTATACTATACCTTCATGCTGAAAGCACTCCGTCCAAGGCAAGCAGCTCCAGGCAAACTGTCGGATGGCTCTGTCTCCATTCAGCACTCGCCCACTTCACCGCCTCCTGCCGAAGCACGTCAAGGACAGGAGACTGGGGCTCTAGCTTTGAGTGACTTCCCCTAGGCCTTTCAGGACTCATATATTTAGGCTGTTGGGCCCAAAGACCATATTATATAAGGCCATTGGGCTATTTTGATGCCCCGGGGTTCAGAGTCGTTCAGAGGCTGCACTGCAAACTTTAGGCTCTCTTGTAACATGGGCTTCTTGCTTACGACAACGCTCAAGATTCTCTTCGTCGCGGCAATCGTAGGCATTCCACCTGCTCTTGCTGTTGTCGATTCCAAGCATTGCTGCGCACACTCTCGCAGATGCTGGTGTGATCTCTGTGCTTTTGTTACTCTCAGGAACGACTTCGAGCTGCACCTGTTTGCCGGCCCATCATGGGCTGTTTTTTGCGAGGGAAGCAACCGTCAACAAATGCGAGCATGAAGGAACCAGACACCCCAACTCTGACGCCCAAATCCCAGCCTTGGCCTCCCGTCCCTCCCCAGAGATGTACCTTCGCCCGGTAGTCGTGCAGATCCACTGTGGAGGAGTCATAGGTGCTGAGAATCCTTCTTAACAGGTCTTGGGCTTCTGTTTCGTGTAGCCTACGTATGTCTTCATCAGCGGTCCAAAGTCGAAGTCTGACAGAAAGACCAAAGGAGGTTTAAGCAGATGATCTAGATGAGTACTAGTCACTAGTCAGCACGTTTCGCTGGCTTTGACTTTCACAACACCCGCCCCATCTCCGCCGATGCTGAGAGGAAGTCGTTTTTATGGAGGGCTACTCACGCGATTTTTCAACAGCAGAGAGGAATCACAACCCCTGCAAGCATCATACCCCATCCGTCCTCTGAACGTGTCGAATGCCTTCCTCTACCTGGGCACGAACCAGTGTCATGCCGACGCGGAAACACCGCTGAGAATGCTATGCAAGACGTACCGTCGACGAACTTGTCTTAAGTCTTAAGGGCATGTGTATCGTATAACAACTATTCGTTCATCTGCCTGCCGCCGGCTGCCACGGATCTGGACCTGGCAACGCACCAGGGGAGACGGTGGCTGCAACTGTTTGCAGACTTCTGAAAATCTCTCACATGCGGAGACATCACGCCGCCAAATCAAAATTTGCCAGGCAATCGGCACTTCAGAGCCCCGTACAAGCGATGTCAGAATTGCGAACCAAGCACAGAAGCTCCCTCCTCATTTTCATAGCGGGGCAGTCCAGGCTTGGAAAGGGATCAGAACCCCTCTTGACTCACACCAAATGCGTAGACTCAGAGGGGGGATGAAAACGGCAAGGACTAAGGTGACTTCCATGAACATTCATTTCGTCGTCTGCCTCGTTTCCCTGGAAAGACAGCCGGGCACCCATCGAAGATTTCACCTGCAGACATGTAGGGAGTCGGATTTACAACCCCGTGCTTCTACCCCTTAAAGCTTTGTTGCTGCATTGGCATCTCATTGTTTTGGGGGCTGCGGGGTTTTAAGGTTGAAGGGGTTCCAAATCCTTAAGTGTGCCCTTCACATCAGCTCCTGGCCCTTGAGGAGACTATACACCCAAGGGGCATGATTCTTCATTATTTCTTGCTTTGCGGCGTTATCTTGGTGTTTGATGTCCAAAGTCGGTCCTCAAGCTGAGCTGCATCTCCACCCTTCAGTCGTTGTGCTGTGCACCGAGCCAAATAAGTTGGCAAACAACAAACGCATGTGTGAACATGTGTAGCTGGTATTGCCAGGCGTATGTAGTATGCATGCATGCTTGTAAACCTACGGCAGGTACAATGCTGCAACTTACTGCCTGCTGCCAACCACGGCTTACCAGTGTCTTGGCGTTCCGTGGCAGAGGCCAGCTCTCCTCAGAAACTGACCAAGTGGCTGTCGTAGTGGTTAAGCAAACAACAAACCTTGAAATTCAAACGAAGGGGGGAGTTAGGAAGAACTGGAAGAAGTTCTCTGGAAGACAGCTGGCGATGTTGACAAGTACAAAACGGGGTAAAAACAACGACTCTTCGTTGCTGTGATTTGTTGTGCAGATTCCTTCACATTTATAAAGTGACGGACTTGGCTTCTAACAGTACCATTGCAACTCGATCTGTAAATCGGCCGGGGAGGGAACTCTTGAGCTTCTTTGCACGGTCAATGGGATGAACACCGTTTCATTCCGGACGCAACTTGTTCAAGGTTTCGGGCCCTCATCCCTGTGCCGAAGCTCTCGTCTCCGCTGCTGCAACAAGTACCAGCACATGCGCAGACTCGAATGCGTACAGGCACGTACAATATACATCCACACACACACACACACACCCACGCGCAAACACACACACACACACACACACGGATACCTACCTGCCTGCCTGCCTACCTGCCTACCGACCTACATCATACATACATATCATGATTCTTTGCACTGCGTTGCGTTGCACACGTATGTACCTCACGCACGCACGCACGCACACACGCAGGGACAGAGAGACAGAGATAAAGAGAGGCAAAGAGAGAGTGAGAGAGAGAGAGAGAGAGAAAGAGAGTGAGACAAAGATCAGGTCTTCGCAAGTCGAGTGCCTGTATGTGCGAGTGTGTGTGTGTGTGTGTGTGTTGTGTAAATGTGTGTCTGTGTGTCTGTGCGTGTGCGTGCGCGCGCGTGCGTGCCTGCTCGTTTCTGTGTGCGCGTGTCTGTTTCCGTGTGCGAATCACCGCAAGTGCTTTCGATTCGATTCTTTCGATTTCGACATTGCAAAAGCAACAGCATATATAATCAGTCCTTCTCTGCGCTTTCCTCACGCACTTCAACAAGATGTCCGCCGCAAATGGAAGTGGCTTTTCGATGGAACTCGTCCAATCCAAAATCCTCCTTGCTGTCGTAGAGTTTGATGGGGACCTGCGATCTCAGAGGATAGCGGGGCCGGCCTCTCTATTCGATGTGTTGCTGTCTGTCACTAGGTGTGGATCGACATAGCAGATAACGTATTAGAGGCTAGGCATATGTGTGAAACAACACCTGCAAGCATGTATGGTAGCTACTGTAAAACAGAACAGCACCTACGAAGAACTGTGACAACATTTGCGCATCAGGGCTGTTGAGACGAATCGCGACAGTCAAAAATTTCCATCTATTTGCAACAGGCCACCAAGCAAGCCCCCCACACACAAATGTAGAACCCACCATCCCAGCCTGGTGATCGTCATCAAAGGCCATTCTAAAGGTGTACAGCCGTCTGTTGTCCATAGAAACCAGTTTACCCTCATCACGGACCACGCTGATGAAGGGAATCTTGTGCACCTGCAAACATGTCGTTGCAATCGGTCAGGGCCTCCAAATCACCAGCCTTTTGTTTGCTTTGGGGTTTTATGTTAATTTGGGTTTGGACTTTTCAGGTAGGTACCCGATACGTACTCTGGTCTTGGAGGCTGATGGAGGATTTTCACAAACACAGACTCGCCGAAGCAGGCTTAAAATTCAACTAACCCCTCCTGGAGCGCCAACCCTTCGAGGGTTCTTTTGGGTTTTTTCTGCGTCCTCCGTGAAAGGTACTATAGGGTTCTTGTATAAGGCCCGACAAACAGCCAAGACCCAATTTAAACCTTCAACCCCAATCAGGATTCCTAGAAGGGCGCCTTAAGAAGGGCGCCTTAAGAGAACCTTGCCTGCCCCTTAACGGAAAGCCCATCATGATCGCTTTGGCTTCCTGCCACGTTCTCTGTCGAGATGCCAAGTCCGGATTCATGCGCAGCATGCTTTCAGTCTCACGCAAGGATGCCCCATCGCGGAAGCTGCCAGAGATTGTCGCCTGAGAACTTACGAAGAAAAAACGCTGTGCCCATCGGAACACCGGAAGGCGGCTGGCATCGTCGGTAAATTATCCGGCTCTAAAGGTAGGCAGGTAGGCCGTGAAGGCAAAACAAGGGCAAATGTACAGCTGACAAAATGAAAGAAGTGTGAGAACATTTCCTCGAGACCGCCATACCTCTTCGGAAACCTGACCGGTGCACGTACCATGCACAACGCAGGACGCCAAAAACAAAACATACACTCATGCAACTTGCCACAGGCTGGACATTTTTGCAGTTAGGATAGCAGTCTCAAAGTGGCTCTTCAGCCCCCCCCCGGCAGCTACTCGGGCAAAAAAAGTGACCTAAGGACCCTTTCACAAACATGTTGCACAAACACATTACCACACAGAGCTGTACTCCTACCATACTGGTACAGCACAGCTCAACACAGATGATTCTGATTCAGCAGCGGTTCTTGGGAAAATTGGAGCTCTCCCACGGGCAGCTTGGTAATTCGAAAGTAGCTGCGCCCCTCCGGCGCAAACGGGGGCTGTCTGCTGCCTGTGCCGGCCTCGCGTGGGCGCGCACTCCATGACGGATATGGGGGGAATTTAGGGCTTGCGTACGGCTCGCAACTCGGACAAAGGTGTCGCGTCAAAGACAATGCAGAGTGATTATCAGTATCTATGCGGTTTGTTGTTTCACCACCTGCCGCAGCAACGACAACAATCCTGACACAACGCAGAATGCATGGCATCTAGCCCGGAAGATCGCAGCATGACGTTAAAGTGTACTGCGCGGCGCTGCAATATACGACAAAGCAGTGGAGGTATTGGGGACCCTGCCGTGAAATCAGGAACCCTAAACCCTGCTACAAACAACAAACGAACCCTCAAGAGCACACAGCGAGACTTTCGTCTGTCGACATGGTCCTCCGTGCAGTATTCAAACTGCCAGCAAGATTTCTGCAGGGATATTCCAGGGTACGAACTTCTGATGCGGACAACAATCTGCACTTCGTCGTTGCTTGTGAACGTGCGCCATATGCAGGGAAACATACACCCTTCCATGTGCCCTTGTTTGTGCAGGCATCTGTCTCTTCGTCACTCAACCTACCGCAAAAGGCAGGAACTACAGGGTCACAGTTTCAATCAGAATCTACGGCCTATAATCGAACAGCCTAGAGTTCCAGATTCCGACGAAAGCCTGGCCCGAGGTCTTGCAAGCCTCCTTCCACTGCTCCCAGCAGTGCCCGCAGTAGCCCCGATAAAGATCCTCCTCCACATAGCACCTGCAGGGCCAGGAAGCGGCAAAACGGGCAGCACTTGCTCTAATCCGCTGTCAGATGATGCTGGGAAAGCATGGCTGCCATGAACTCCCCATTGGGCAGCGTTGCAGTTTTTGGGTTCTCTTTGTCATGTCCTAAACCCCTTTCCATTAGCTCAAGTGTTTCTTTGACTCCCCTCGTATGGCCTTAACTAATATTTAGAAGAAGACTATAGGGTAACCCTGAAGCCCCTCTTGCTGTGTGTCTCATGGCCGGGGGCTATTATACTACAATTATAGTAAGAAGCCCCCACAAGAGTATAGGTAATGCTTAAGGCCCCTATAGTACCGTTCCGAAGCTCAGTCCGGTCGTCTGAAACTAGAGCTGCACTTGCAGGCCAGGCACCGACAGCCCCGGCACCAGACTGCCATTCGCACCCCGAAGCTGGGTTCAAAGAGATGTGGCTCATTCACTACCCGTCACTACCCTAAACCCGAAACCCTAACCTCCTAAACCCTACTGTACACCCTAAACTCCTAAACCCTAAACTCTAAACCCCCACGTTGCGTGGAAGAAGGGCATGTGATGCAGGCTGCGGGGCTGAAGATTTTCACGGTTTCCCTGCAGGCACCCCGAGAATGCTCCAGCCTAAACAGCTGCAGTCGGAGAGTCTGAGGAGTTTTCGCAGCTCTCAGGCAAGTATGACAGGACCCGGCCCAAGACCAAGATTCCATCGGTGCACCAAGCCGCCAAACAATTCTGACAGACCCTCGGAATATTTCCAAGTCGTGAGTTTGTGATATTATGTTTGAGGGACTCTCACTAGGACCGGTAAGGGAAGCCCTGCAATCCGAACTGCAAGCGCTTGAACGAAACTAACGTTTCAGGAACAAGCTCCACTTCTCCGTCCAAACACTCCATCGGCTACGTCTTGTGAACATCGAGAAAAACTTGCATAAATGTCCATGATACCTTACAAGTAATTGCATGATCACCATGACCAGAACTCTCATCATGATCGTCGTCATCAGCATCACCATCCTCAGCAGCTACATCGTCATCAACGTGATCGTCATGATGACAATCGGCATACATGGAAGCAGAAACTAAGGAGCCTGGCATTGAGCTCGATGAGTGCGCACTGCTGCATGAACGTCGGGCATCCACCTGCAAGAAAAGCTCGGTTGGTTCTTGGTACCTTGTCAGCTGCCAGTGCCGCATGCATAGCTGTCATGAAGTTAATGAGTTCAAAAGCATCTCAGTGTTTTGCAAGAGTGAAGCATCTTCAGAGGTTTGGGGATAGAAATCGGACATTACCGTCTGCAATCCACGGTGACCTGCTCATCTTTTCTTAACACAGGCTCATGTCGCCCTTTGGGCTTGGGATCCTCCGGGGTCCTCATGGCTTCAAATCTTACATGAGTGAGCTCCCTCAGCACACACACACACACACACACACACACACACTGATCGAGGAACCCGCTTCAAGTTGCAAGACATGGCCCGAAAGAAAGCATTTACTCATACATCTCCCGCTACACTTGACGCAGACTGTGCGGTAGGGCCAGCATTTGATTGACCAGTGCCTCCATTGTAATCCTCGCCGCCTTTCATGGCAGGACCACTTCGGACAGAAATGCCTGCTATGTCTTTGCTTGACCCCAACGGCGAAAGGTGAAGAATCCTAACCTCGCGCGCGACGAAGTTCAGCACTCTCCTGCTTCATGACGCAGGGTCTGCAACATGAAATCATGCAGAGGACCTTAAGGAGGTCGCTCGGGACCTCAGGAAAGTGGAGAGGATGGAGGGTCTGCAGACGTGTCGGTTTTGACTTGTCGTTTTGCACTCGCCGGCGCTTACATGCGGTTGTAGCATCTATGCTACATGAAACCACGCGAGGCAGCTACAGGGTAGAGCTACTAACAAGGCTCACTTCAAGCCCCCTGAGCGCTCCAAGTATGTACACATGGAACACCTGGGCCTGACAAACATCCCGCAAACTCCAGTTCAAACTGCAAGCAGCCCCAAAACCCTGACTTCCTGGAATGGATTCATTGGAGTCTGCAGAAAGGCAGGCTACCAGGGCCGAAGCGAAGGACTAAAGTATAAAGAATTAATGGGCATCGTCTTCTGCGGAGGGCGCGTGCCGACAGGCGCCACACCTCTGACACGGGACGGATGCGTGTCGACAGTCGGGAGTGCTATGAGTGCTGCAGTGGGCCTTGGCACAGCTGGTTGGAATCTAGCCTTCCCCTGCAAGCTCTCGACAAAGACCGAAAGCTTCTCCCAGCTAGATGTTACCGGATGAACAGAAGATTGCGGTTGCTCTGGCGAGCAATGCTGCTGTTCGAGGCCTCAAAGAGGCTCCAGCTACTCTGAAGCACTCGGATGTAGCGTGCAGCATTGGCGGGTATCCATGCGAGGGCGCAAACCAGCTGTAGCTTGATTGCGGCGACGGGCTGGTCATCGATGTGGCTGCTGCTGCTGCTGCCGTTGCCATCCGATCCCATATGTAAGGGCCTTACTAGTAGTAATTAAAATAGGCTTGTGGGTATGATCCGAATGCAGCGCCTTCGGCGTCAGCGTCGCCTCCTCAGCTGCAGAAGTCGGAAGTAACCCTCAGACTCGTCGCGGAGCACCTGCGTGTCGGTAATCTAGGGGCCGTAATAATTAGAACAGGGTCTTGGGGTATAGTATACTATAACTATAATGAGGAACCCCCAAAATAGTATTGGTAACTATTTAGGCTCCTACAGTAACCATCCCTTGCTTCTTTCAGCCAAGGGGAGACAGTGGAAACCCACATGGGCAAACTCTTGCATTTCATGGTCGGCAAAATGCCTCCTACCCTACACAGAACCCGTTTGCAAGAGTTTGCAAGCGGAGGGGCCGAAAAGTATTGAGTTCCCTGTAGACCTCGATTCGATGGTGACACCCCCTATGCTTGTAATATCATGTGCTTATTCTGGCAGGATACATGACCACCACTACAGCGGGACTGGAGCCGGCCTCATCTCTCTCGACGCTGAAGAGTTTCGCCTTCGGTCGCGAGATGTCGCGAGAATCATCTGAGCTTAAACCTACTGCGGCGCATTGTCGTGAATTTAGCTACCGAAACCGGTGCTCACTGATGTGTGCACTAGCAAGGTGCACCAACGATGCCGACGATGCCTGTCTTGAAGTGTGCACCAGCTCTGCCAGATCGGTGCCGTCGACGACATTCCCCACCTCTGCGTGTAGCTCTTCAGTCTAGGCGCCGTTGATCCGCTTAGAATTTATCCGAAGACAACACCCTGAATCCATGTGGGCATCGCGCTGCTTCGAGCTCCATCTGACTGGTGTCTGCTCGCAGCCGTCTCTTCTTGCATTTGGATGAAGACAGATGCATGAAGGCACACGACGAAGCGGGCTACATCAGAATTGCAGCATAAGGCTTCACAACAAAGCCTGAAGCACCTCCCATCTCCCCCAAACCCAAACAACACAGAAGCCTGAAGAATTTTAAGATTCTTCTATCTCGCTATAAAAAAAACACCAGCTATTTATTCTACTTAGTAAGGCCCATGCATTGAAGCCACCTGCTCTTGAAGCCTTCCCCTCCGAACACGTACAGACATCTCAGCCGAGGGGCCGCGAGGAGGCAACCTCCAAACGTCAGCAGCTCGCCGCAAAGCTCCAGCAATGCCTCTCAAGAAGCTCAGGCGGTTGAAAAATCTGCAGATTTCTGGTTGATGTACTGTAACGAAAGGATCGAGAATTGACCATCATGGTTCAGCTCCATGGTAATTGCGAGTTCATCGTGCTCCGGCTTGCCGTGTGGTCTGACATCTCCCGTAAAGATTAATCCGGCGGGGTTAGTAATTAGAATAGGGTTTGATGTTATACGATAATTATACTGAGGAGCCACCAAAATAGTACAGGTAATTATCTAGGCCCCTGCAATGAGCAGCCGGACTGCGCCAGCGCTCTTTGCAGTCTCGGTCCACTGCCCTGGCCAAACTCTTCAGGAAAGTCGGGGAACCTTACCCTATACCTCCTTTACAACCATAATAAAAGTTTGAGTTTGAATATTCTCTTGGGTTTTATATGAGCAAAAATGCAAAACCACAATTCGTATAGTATGAGTTTATGATTCTATAATAACTCTAGGTGCCAGAACCGCTCCAAGACTTGGCATTCCTTCTCACAGAGACTGACACTCCATCACCATAACCATCTAATTATCAAAACAAGGCTGTGGAGAATATCATACTAACTTTATAGTAAGGACAATTTTTGAAATTATACTCATAAGTAGAGAAGACAGGCTCTGATGCCGCGCCTCCGGGCCGATCCGACCAGCGTGCAGCATCACCTGGGCTCACAGCATGCGGCTATCACCCTGCTGGGGCCAGCTCTCTAGTATATGGGCCTGAATAATTCGACTAGGGGTTGGTTCAAATTATAAGGGATCTATTGTAGGATTCTATACTAAGGGCCTTAATCATTAGAAAAAGGTTTTGGGGCCCATTATATTATGAACATAATCAGGAAGGCCTCAAACTAGTCTTGGCAATTATTTAGGCCCCTATACTCTGTAATTCACCGCAAGACTCAAGCATTGCCGCATTGGATGATACCTCCTGTGACTTCTGTGTTAACTTGTGAGATGTGGCGGCTCAGTGAAGGTTTCAGTGTTCACGACTCGGACAATCCAAGGTGGGCGTTCGAGCCGTTGTCTCGGCGGCGGGACAAGGCATCGTCAACTCCCGGCACACACAATGCTTCGGGCACGGTGCCTCTGTTAACAAGTCTGCCACGGGGCATCAAACTGTGGCGCAACCAAGGAGGGGCGCATGCTTCGCATTGCTGTGCCGCTGTCCTGAGATAGGGACATCGAATCTGTCAATGGCTCATATAGACTATCCCCAGCAAGTACAATGACAACAGAACACTCGCAGCGGGCTCCACTCTGCTTGCTTGCCCACCGGCTTGTCTCATGTTCAGCAGCCATGTACAGTGAGTATGATTGTCCTCTGTTACAAGTGGGAAGAAGCGTGCATTTGCACGCGTGCGTGTGCATAACTGTACATATGCATGATTCGTGAGTGTCGGCCCGGCTGATTCTAAGCTCCCCCTATGCTGGTTCATGATGAGACGTGACTGGCAAAGCAGGAAACAAACTTCTTCCACAACTGTAAGAGCAGCAGTAGCAGCGCACCCAGCTATGTAATCAGTCACAGTCATGGAGAACATGCGGCAGTGCAAGAACACTTGCAGGAATGACAACCATCAGTCACGTACAGCATCCCAACCCATGCCAGCACCAGAAACTTGGCAGAATGCGGGGGCGGCGCTGCCCATCGAACATTTTGCAAGTCGCATGGTTGTTTTTGCCTGCTGAGCTCCTCAGCAGCAGCTTCTGAGATGCTACTGAAGTCTCACGTGCCACCTGATTAAACCCGTGGGCTTCGACTTCGTTGCACGAGAGCATGCAAATTCGAATTAAGCATATGTCGACGCGTCGGAAGTTTCACGCAATGGCGGAGGCTTCAGGATCGATCTCAAAAAGTAATGGTCTGCCAGTTATGTACATCGAAGATAGAACTTTCTAAGTTCACAAAATTCAGTTCCCGCCGGCGGCAGCAGTCAGTGTAACCCCCGAGAAATGACGCAGTACCCAATTCATGTGATACAAGGGCTGCCTCAACCACGGTGCCCCTTGCGATCACCACTTACAGTACCGCAAGGACTCCGGACCGTGTGATTACGTCACAGCAAAGCAGCGTTGATCTCTCTCTCTCTCTCTCTCTCTCTCGCTCTCTCTCTCTCTGAACTCTAAACAAGATTGCTGCACTCTGGACCCGCGTGGGGTCACAGTAAGACCAGCAGACTGCGTAAATGCCAAACCCCATGGAAGCCCTAAGCCCTAGAATTTTAATCTTCAAACACCCTAAACAACCCTAAACACCCTTTTCCTGAACCCGTACTGAGGCCGATGTATGCGAAACCCCTATATACACTCTAAACCTTCAACCCCTCTTTGCCACTGGACTCAAGTCTAGCCAGTCTACGACCCACAATCCTTCAACCCCTAAACCCCAAACCCCCTAGAAAAAGGAGGAAAAAGGCTCCCACTGCCATTGCCGTGCGAGCTCACCGGCCCCCGAGGCTGAGTGAGGCACGGGGTAGACCTCATGCAGACATCGGAGCTGATCAGAATTTTCTAGCGTCTTATACGAGGCTTTCGGCGAGGTTCTAGAAGGTTTCACCGGGTCCTTCTACAGCTGTATACATGCAAGACAAGTTGTAGGAGTCTTCGCAAAATGCTTTGACGACCCCACTACACTGCTCTACGTTGGGGGAGAAGGGGTTGTAGCTCACCCTCGTGGGAAGGCTTGGGTCACAGATTTGATTTGTTGTCGCACCGTCATGATTCAACTTCCACATCTCGCTCCGCCCTGGCACCCCCGGTTCTACCTGAGTTCGAATCCCTGCGATTCCCACCACGGCTGGAGCATTATCCCAATCCGGCCTCCAAGCCTGGACACTCGCTCCGGAACTATATGGGAGTTTCCGAAATAGCGGACCTTAATATAGTACCCTACATAGTAGGTCCTTGTTAATAAGGGCCCCGGAATATGGTACCCCTAATTTTCGGAAACTCCCATATAAAGCCTAAACCCACATCATAACGCCTACTGGAAGCGAGACCCAGGTTTCCCCCACGACTTGCTTCGCCCTCATCCACAGAAAAGCTTGCCCGGGGTCTACACGAAGAGTTTCTCACTTTTGGGGACTGGATATAAGCATGCCATATATATATATATACACATTTGCTTAGTTTACTTATCTATACCTACAGAGGATAAGATACATTCATATGTGTATATATGCATATTTGCCTGGCTTACCTATAAACCTACAAAGGATCAAGCTTGCCTACCCATCGTCTCAGTCCAAAAGGCGTAGACAGGAACCTGTCTTCCCGTAATGCCGCTGACCGACGCGGCCTCCCAAAGGCCCACCGAGCAGGACTAATGTAGGAACTTGATTAAGAAACCTTGTGCCTTTATTAGGGTTCCTTTAAAGGGGTCTAGAAGGGTTACTATAAGGGATCTATATGGGTACTGCAATGATGTGAACCTGATTAAGAAACCTTGGGCCTTTATTCGGGTTCTTTTAAAGGGGTCTATAAGGGTTACTATAAGGGATCTATATTATATGGGCACTATGAAAATGTAGGAACCTGATTAAACAACCTTGGGCCTTTATTAGGGCTCCTTGTATGAATCCGACTATTTTCCGGTTATAGGGCCAGGGTTTCTTAGTCGGGTTCCTACATTCGGGCTCACAGATGGGATGGGACACTGCTTCATGCAGAACCGATCACAACAAAGGGTTCAGAACAACCACTGCTAAATCCCATACTTACGTAACTTAATAACTATACTATAAATCTAAGTAATAAGGAACTCCCAAAATAGTATAGGTAGTTATGTACACCCTAACATAGTCGGCTGCTGGATCTGCGTTCCCTGTGCCTGACAGCTCTTGGCCCTTCCAGAAGCTTTCGTAGCAGTGTGAAGGCTTTGGGCGTTGAAGCGCAGCAGCCGGCATCCTAACTCCTCAGCTGTTCAAATGCTTAGGATACCCAGTAACCTAAGAATAAAAAGGCATCTCTTTTTGGTATTGGTTAACTTTATAAGGAACCTAGGACTACAAAAAGGGAATAAGGGTACTACTGGGCATCCTAGATGCGTATTGTAAACGACTTTTGGGTGTGGCTTAGCTGCTTAGCTTCAGGGCAAAACTTCTAGTTTCTGGAACCAGTATTCTACAAACAGGGCTGCAACATGATCGAGCCAGCCTCCGGTAGACCACGGATCAGCAGACAGTCAAACAGGCATTGCAGGTGAGCAGCATCTGCAGCCGTCAGGGTCATGGTCCGACACAGATGTGCAGCCACAAGTCCAACCATCCCAGCGCCTTCACACTATCAGAGACATCAGAAACTGTGACTCGGCGGCTTTTCTACCGAAAAAGTACCGGCAAAAGCCTGAGTCCAACTCCAGGACAGCGCGGCCAGCCAGCATCTTCGGCTCCTCGACATCGCAGAGCTGAAGATGCTCATATCCACCGGCAACTCAACATCGGAACCTCGTATCTTTCAAACCGCTGTCTGCAGAGTCCTCAGGTCTCAACGCGCTTTCCCCTACATGGAAAACCAGCACCATCCAGATGGTATGACGAGCTTTGATTTGCTACTTCCAAAAATGCTCAGTGGCATTCAGTTTGCAGCATGATACAGCATAGATCTTCTGAAGGCATTGGGGCACTCCAGGACGCTCGAAGACCCTTCATGACCCGTCGTCGTCTTCGCGTCCTGCATGACCGCACGGCGGAGGGTCCGGCGCGCCCCGTTGTTGCCCCGATCGGGCTCTAGCAGCCACAGCTCCTGGATCGGTATTGAGGAGAGCCGAGTACGGTAGTATAGGGGCCTTAGTGATTAGAACTGGATTTTGGGGCTCATTGTCATTATGCTATAAATATAATGCGGAACCCCCAAATAGTATGGGTAATTATCTCGGCCCCTATAGTGTAGTATAGTAAGACGTACTACAATATAGTATAATTCAAGTATAAGCACAAGCAGTACAGTATAGTAAGGTTCATCAAAGTATAGTAAAGTCTAGATCAGTGTAGAAAAGGAGAGTATAGTGTAGTACAGTATAGTACATACAGGTTGCATATAGTAGGCAAGGAAAGGAGAGAATAGTCTAGTATAGCATTAGTACCCGTAGTTTCAATACTGAAATTTGCAGTAGTATTCGTAGTTACTGCTTTGGAAAACTCCAGTATAGTACAGTGAAGCCAAGTATAGTTTCGTTCAGTGTAACACCCTAAGCAAGACTGCCCGGTGCAAAGTTCGAAAATGTAGAGGAGATTGTTTGCATAGTTTTCAGAAAAGGAGCCTTCATTGGCTCATCCTCGTCGGCTTCTGCCTCCACACCATGCCTTCCTGGGATGATGTAAAGAACAACGAACGTGTGCACAATAGAGTTGAGTCGGGTTCCTTCAGTACATGTATTCGAGCTGCGGAAGACCAGCTGCGATGAGGGCTGCTGCGACAAATGGATGCCTGAACGCGGCTTTTGCGCATGCGCTGTCCGACATGATGCAAGGAGTGTTGAAAAGCTGTGGATTGAGAACTCCGGGATCTCAGTCTTGAAGGCCATTATTCCAAGCTTTCTATCCTTAAAGATCTGAGTTCGGAATCATCTGAGATGCTTTCGAATAATATGGGAGCCAGCAGCCAGGGAGTCCCGCCTTCGCACGCTGGCAACATCGACTTCTTCAGCTCCTCCGAGCAAGATCTTGGCAAAGTTATGCAAAGTTCATGTATAGTCCTTGATGAACAACCCTCCCGTCCTTTCACGGCCAGAATATTAGGATCCTTACTGCAACCCTGGGAAGGAGAGAGGGTTATTAGTCAGAGGTCAACATTATGTCTGACTTTTGCAAGCCGAACCACCAAAGACTCGATGGTCATACCTAGGAGAGGCAGCACGAGTCCATCACACAAGGCTCACTCGGCTTAAACCTCAAAATGTCAAACGTGCTTGTGGACTGAACTTGAGGAAAGCACATACCGTCCAAAGCCGACACCCAACCCATCCCAAACCATGTCCGTCGGCGTGGAGGGCGGCGTCCGTGGTAAGTTCCCCTTTGGACTTCCTGGCTTGGACACCTGCAACGGTCGAGATCATGGCTCCACATCCAGTGTTTCGCGACCCGTTGGGTCTTCTCTGAGAAAATCCTGAACCCCTTGTACAATACCCATAGGCCCCATAGTAGATCCTTTTTGGGGCTCATATTTAGAAGCCTATAAGTCCCAAAAAGGAACTGCCTCCGGCTCCGGAAGAACGCCGATGCCGTAGTGCCGCGCGAAGTGCTGCAGAGCTCGCCTCCGCTGGGACCCGGAGGATCAAACGAAACCTCCTCAAACGTACACACACGCACACACGCAACATCTATTGGCATATGCATGTGAAGATAATGTGTGTGTGTGTACTCCTAGTGTTGCCTGCATCCACGGTTTTTGCCGTTTTGCTTCTGCAGGTCTGCGCTACTGTGATGCAAAGCAACAAACGACAGAGAGAGAGAGAGAGAGAACAAAAGACAAACACAATACAATACAGGCGTGGACATGGACGGAGCAAACATGAGCAAACCATACACACTTGCACAAGTTTCATCAACTCTCAGCCCCACGGCACAGACTGCTAGCGAATGCAAGTGAAGTGAATGCAAACCGACGGTCTGAACACCTTCATGGTCTCGACGTATGCCAGAACCAGTTTGTCCTCAAGCCCTTAAGCGCGAGATCGTGCGATCCTCACGTCTATCCCATGTCTACTATACTCTGAAGCCACCACCAGGGCGCAGGAGGCAGCGCAGCTCCACGTCGCGGCCCCACCCGAAGCTGAGTCGAAGGTGACGCCAAGCCTTCTCACTTCCCATACATGAACTCACCGAGTCGACCCAGAAGCATCGACAATTAGACATCAAGGCTCGAGGTCACAAAGCAAGCCTCAACGACTCGATGCAATCAAACAATGTAGTGCCATCACCCAAGAGGTGCCAAACGAAATTCCTGCTACAGAACCTCAGAAGCATTGGTAACTATGATTGGTCCACCGCACTACTCACTACTGCTGCTGCCTCTAGAATCACTAGTAAACCTACCTGCGCTGATACTACTGCGGCAAGTGCCAGTGCCACTCCCACGCCTACGACCACTCCGAATCCTCCTGAAATTGCGCAACTATAACTATAACACTGCTGCTGCTGCTGCTCCTGCTGCCCTACGACGACGACTGCTAATTACTATGTACTACTACTACTACTACTACTACTACTACTGAGGATCCCTTAACCCTCTGTGAAAAAAAGGAAACAGAGTCCGGAAGCCTCCCTTCTCTGAGAGGCACGGCGCCAGCCGCGCCCCAGGCTTGCGAGGCGCAGCTGAGATGCAGGGGAGCAAAAGCCGAAGACCTGGCTGAGGGTCCGTGAGGATTGTGTTCTACAGAGCTGCGTGTCCTTGCATGAATTCCTTTTTGCAGCAGGCTTTCCACTTCGCCCGGAGTTGCATAGATTCCTTTCTTTTCAGCATGGGCTTGGATTGCGTGCCAGCGAACACTCCTCAACAGCAGGGCCTTCTCGTTTGACGAGGGATGCGAAGGCGGGAGTGAGAGAAACACAAATTCCTAAACCCTAAACCCCTGATACCCTCGCACCAATAATGCCATGCTTCCTTTCTCCCCCTGCTAACTGCTAGCACCGTTTAACACCGAGTGAAAAGAAGCCCCGTCCGTCTCTCACCAGCTTTAAGGGCCGAAGCTCGCACCCGTTGTAGGGTGACTAAATACTTGCTCTGTCTCCCTGTCCCCCTCTGTCCTTCTCTCCGCCTGTCCGTTGGTCTGCATGTACGTGTATACGTGTTATATACATAATACATACTTACAGACATGCAGACAGACAGACAGACATGCATAATTCTCAGGCATACTTACATGCACACATACTGGCAGACATACATACTTACTTACATACTTGAACACGCATGTCTTCACAGGTATACCTCCACGTTCCGAGAGTCTTGCTCATGATCCCTGCGAACTGAGGCCTGTAGGATGACATCCTCCCCGGTCTGGTCCAGCCTGGATCTTAGGCGTTGCGCGAGCAATAGAAGGCCCCGAAGAATTGTCATATGGGAGTTTCCAAAAATGGGGGACCCTAATATAGTACCTCACATAGTAAGATCCTTATCGTAAGGACCCCTAAAATAAGGTACTAAGGCCTCTATATTCGTCTACTCCAAGTCCAGGAAGTCATGATCGTAGAGAATGGAAATTGTAAGACCAGTAGTAGTCCAAGGGACCACAAGAAGCAACATTTTTGCCATGCTAGAATTAATTGCTCAGCGGTCACCATTCCTGGAAAGAACAGGAAGCTACCATGGCAACTGATCCTTCACCAGGACTTTATATCACATGTTCGCAGCTACCTGCTGCAACACGTGCCACAGTCGGGGTTGCATATCGGCTCACAAGTTAGTGAACTTCTTTTCCTGGCCGTCCCCTCAAAGCTTCTGTGTAATTATAATGCGAGCAGCAACCACCACGGTGCACGCAGCACATCAGCGGCGAAGTTGCCGGTGATTTGCCTTTCCGGCTTGTATTGGATCGAATTGGCTGCGCCAGATACTTCGTGCCAGCGTTCAAGAGTGCTCCGTGCTAGCAACCAACATGTCTTTCGCTGCTTCATTGCAATGTCTTGGAAAAGCTTCCAAGCCTCGGGCGGCAGAGACAGTGTTTCTACTTGTGATGTACGTGCGAGTGCGCGTGTGTGCATGTACGTGAGGCAACATCTAGGTCTCCAGCAGGCAGTGATTATGTCTCCCGTCTGCCCCTCACGTGGTCGGCGTGCGGCACCTGGTACACCAGCAAGCACCGTACCATGCCCTGAAATCTGCTGCGCGGGTGAAGCTCAGAATTCGATGCTGAACATCAGCCGCCTGACAGGTGAAGCAGTCGCAGTGCTCGCTAGGCGGTTGAATTGAGCGGCTTTGACCCGTTTAGGTGTTGGCTGTAAAAGGACTATCAAAGCGTACATGCCGCTCCTTGTCAAAGTACTATCACCCAATCAAGAATTTCTAGAACTGGGCAGAGCATGCAGTTCCGTCAGTCGGCAACTAAAGGCTCCATGACATACACATCCGCCTATGCATGCAAACACACATAATTTCAAACTTACTACAGTGTTACTACAGCCTACTGGGGTCACGATCAGTCGACTGCGTGTGGGGCGGACTAGACCAACTAACAAGTTTAGTAGCCAAGAAAACGACGGATGTAGAACGGCAAAGGGCCAGTGCTGTTGCATAGGAAAAGATGCTTATACACGTATATACATAATACATACATGTGAACGTCCATGTCTCTATCTCTGTGTGATGAGAATATAACTATACATGTATGTATATATATATATATCTCTCTCTCTCTCTCTCTTTCTCTTTTCCGGGGCATCTGGGCATAGGGGTCGGTCAAGACCGCCTCGCTCTCTCTCTCTCTCTCTGTCTGTCTCTCTCCCTCTCTCGAGGACAGGCAGAGAAAGACGGGCATCGCAACGAGCATCGCTGCTCACCTCTGCTTCCTGACACGGGTACGAGTCATGAGCACGACGCGGGCGTTTAGAGCACAGCGGTCGCCTGCTACAGCTGAAGATTATGCGAGAGCTTGGCTTGGAGTTTCGGATATTGTTTCGGTCGACATGGTCTACTGTATTCCCCAACAACCAGAGGCATTTCGCTCGAAAATTAGCTGTCGACCTAGCATAGGGTCTGCAGGGTCTAGTGTCCCGCCTCCATACTGTCAGGCTCTTTGGGCTCTCAACGACGACCGAAGAAAGCCATTGCCATAGCCACTCCGGCGGATCAGACTAGGATACTCTTAAGATCTGAATGATTGTGTCGCAACATCCAGGAACCCTGGGCTACTTGTCATGTTCTTCATCTGATGGTTACGAGTTGCTGCAGAAACAGGGGTAAGCGGTGAACATGCACACTGAAGCAGCCTAGCCGTCAGCAGCTTACATGTCAGCGGAAGAAGCAGTACAGAATCTGATGCAGAATCGATGGTCATGCGGTTAAGCAGCGCACCTGCTGTAAGTAGCAACCACACGATGCAGGTCCATGGAGATATCATATAACTTGTGCACACAGCTTGTGTAAGACTGGGCTTTGGCACGGCCTCACCATCTACTCCCGCGCATTCAAGAGAACAGCCACACAGACACGCTGCAACTTGGACCAGGGCCGGGAAGCTTCTTCGCACATATAACTCTGCTGGCAGCCTGCTTGCTGCACCGATGCCTGATTACAGCACTCCCCGACAAACTACAGGCGAGCTGTGATTTAACACGGCCTCACCATCTATTCCCGCACATTCAGGGGAACAGCCACACGGATACGCTGCAACTTCGACCAGGGCCGGGAAGCTTCTTAAAGCTCATGCGACTCTGCTTTCAACCCGGCTTGCTGCACCGATGCCTGATTACAGCACTCCCTGACAAACTACAGGGCAGCTGTGATTTGACACGGCCTCACCATCTATTCCCGCGCATTCAAGAGAACAGCCACACAGATAGGCTGCAACTTGGACCAGGGCCGGGAAGCTTCTTAAAGCTTCTTCGCTCATGCGACTCTGCTTTCAACCCGGCTTGCTGCACCGATGCCTGATTACAGCACTCCCTGACAAAATACAGGGCAGCTGTGATTTGACACGGCCTCACCATCTATTCCCGCACATTCAAGAGAACAGCCACGCAGATACGCTGCAACTTGGACCAGGGCCGGGAAGCTTCTTAAAGCTTCTTCGCTCATGCGACTCTGCTTTCAACCCGGCTTGCTGCACCGATGCCTGATTACAGCACTCCCCGACAAACTACAGGCGAGCTGTGATTTAACACGGCCTCACCATCTATTCCCGCGCATTCAAGAGAACAGCCACACAGATAGGCTGCAACTTGGACCAGGGCCGGGAAGCTTCTTAAAGCTTCTTCGCTCATGCGACTCTGCTTTCAACCCGGCTTGCTGCACCGATGCCTGATTACAGCACTCCCTGACAAAATACAGGACAGCTGTGATTTGACACGGCCTCACCATCTATTCCCGCGCATTCAAGAGAACAGCCACGCAGATACGCTGCAACTTGGACCAGGGCCGGGAAGCTTCTTAAAGCTTCTTCGCTCATGCGACTGTGCTTTCAACCTGCTTGCTGCACCGATGCCTGATTACAGCACTCCCTGACAAAATACAGGGCAGCTGTGATTTGACACGGCCTCACCATCTATTCCCGCGCATTCAAGAGAACAGCCACACAGATACGCTGCAACTTGGACCAGGGCCGGGAAGCTTCTTAAAGCTTCTTCGCTCATGCGACTGTGCTTTCAACCTGCTTGCTGCACCGATGCCTGATTACAGCACTCCCTGACAAACTACAGGGCAGCTGTGATTTGACACGGTCTCACCATCTATTCCCGCGCATTCAAGAGAACAGCCACACAGATAGGCTGCAACTTGGACCAGGGCCGGGAAGCTTCTTAAAGCTTCTTCGCTCATGCGACTCTGCTTTCAACCTGCTTGCTGCACCAATGCCTGATTACAGCACTCCCTGACAAAATACAGGGCAGCTGTGATTTGACACGGCCTCACCATCTATTCCCGCGCATTCAAGAGAACAGCCACACAGATACGCTGCAACTTGGACCAGGGCCGGGAAGCTTCTCAAAGCTTCTTCGCACATCCAACTCTGACACGGCCTCACCATCTATTCCCGCGCATTCAAGAGAACAGCCACACGGAAACGCTGCAACTTGGACCAGGCAAGGCCAGGAAGCTTCTTAAAGCTTCTTCGCACGGCTGGCAGCCTGCTGACAAAATTCTGGGCAGCTGTGCAGTCTGGACCAGGGCCAAGTTTCTTGCAGAGATACAGTAGAAGCCAGAAAGTTGGAATATCATTATCGTAACCCCTTTAAGGTACATTATAGGGGATCCTACCATTAATCCATATTCCAACTTTCTGGAGTTCCCTTTAGTGCGGTGTTGTTGTGAAGCGCGGAGGCAAGTAGCGGTAGCATCGGCGATGTGAACTAAGCAGCACCGGTCAGACCCGAGCGCTCTGTTTCGTCGCGCCTCTAACTCCCAGAAGTTTCTGGCACCCTGATGGCACAGGGTAGGTCTCTTCGCAAACTGGCTGACCCTCGCAGTAGGCCATGTCTGCTCCGCCTAGAGGCTAAAGATTTGAGACTCATGAAACCACCGATCTACGATATGAGCGTCTTGGGTCGTACTTGTACAGTCTACTTCAGCTTGTATTGGAACAACTTGGAATAGGATGGAAACGCATGTAATCAGTATTCCCACGACAGTAGCAACGATCGTGATAAGACCAGCAGCAATGGGGCTAACGTATCCGATGGCACTAGTAGTAGCTCCACGAATGCCGTTCACAAACAGAGTCTGGAGTCTGCAAGCACGGTAGACTAAACACACTGTAGACTTCACGAACAGTTCCATGCCACGCCATGCCAGGCAAGATGATGCAGACATGTTCGACGTTGGTTACGGTCATGATACGGGGTCCAGAAACCAACCAAACCAAAGCAACAACGCACACGATGATGCGAACTTACTTCAGCAGAACTAAGGTTAAGGAACTGTAGACCAAATAGCAAATAACGCTACTATGACGATTCTATGCCAGGGAACACCTACTCTTAGAACATAAGTGAAATTCAGAATCTTACTATGCAGATGCATATAGCCTACTCACCCAAAAAGACGGCTTCGGCTGTTTAGCCGTGGCTTGCCAGTTTGGCACGCCAAGCCATCAGAGGGCCCGGTAGCCCAGTCGTGCGGGTGCCGGTGGGCGGGTTCAGACTGCCGATCCCTGATGTCATTAGGGTGACCTTATACGGTAATCCTCAGTCATTTCATATAGATCGCTGACAATCATATAGTCTCATAGCACCCCTCCCCAATTCTCGTTCAAATAATTAGGGGCTGCAGGGCTTTCAGTACATAAGGGCATCTTTACCGAGTCGTTGCCAACTGCATTTCTTGCTATCCTGTCACCACTCCCGCAACCTAAACCCCTACAGGATGCAGTTGATCCTGTCATCTGCTTGCAATCTCAAGCCAAAGGTCAGCAGAGGCCAATCAGCCTCGGTCCAGCAACCAAGGCAGTCCCACAATGTCCCAAAACCTTTGCAGGGAAGAGCAAACTCCTCGCCCTTACCTTCCTATCCGTTCCATTGCCAGTGCTCCGCACCCCGGCCCGGTGAAGAGAAATCCTTCAGCACGGGGGAGGATTGCTAACCCTGAGGCTCGGGCTTAGCCAAACATCTTGGAGAAGACCTTCTTCTGGCCCTCCTTCTGCTTGGTCCTTGCTGTGAGAAGGCTAAGGCTGCCTTCTTGGGCCGCACGTTTTCGGAAACAAAGCCGGAACTGCCCCCGATACCCTCCCCAGGTTCAAGAAGATGCACCTTGCAGCTCTAGCCTGGTCCCTTGAGAACGAACTTAAAGGACTCCCACCTGCGCATGCCGCAAGAGAGATGCTCGCGCATGTTATGGACAAGTTCTACTCTTCTCGCTCTTACCCTGCACCTAAAATCCAGTGGAAGCTTTTTCTTCCAGTGCCTTTTGCTTTCAAGAAACGTCTAACCAGTACATGTCTTTGCAAACAGGACAAAGAAATAACACCTCGCAGCGATGCATTGCAAACGCACTTGTAAGGGCGAGGCAGCAGCTTCTGCAAGCGATCCTGGCAGTCTCGGACGATGCTAAAAGAAGCAGGATCGCAATCTCTGTGGAGCTACAGCTACGGGATCAAGATATCGAGACGTGCTGGGCCCTGAAGGGGTCAATATGAATAGATTACCGTTGATTCCGCAGTGAGCCCGGTAAGCAGAAGAAACACCTTGCAGGGGAGGCGTGAACCCCGACGCATGCAGCAGTTCGTCGCGCCTGCGCCTTCTTGAGATCTGCATCTTCGGGCGAAACCCCAAGCCCTTTCTTGATCTCCTCTTTGCTTGCAGTCGGGTTGAGAGATCAACTGCTCATGATCCTTCGCAAACTGGATCGCACGCAGCATGCTTCGTAGCAATCTCAACAACCTAAACTCAAACACCCTGAAACCTAAAGCCCTGAGCCCCCAAAAATCGCCCGACTTCCTTAAATTTCGTCCTTGAGTGCATCCTCCAGCTCTCCGAGCCTGATGTGCCGCTGCATGTTGACCGGAAGCCGCTTTATGTTCTGAGGAGGCATCGAATCCATGCAGCATCTAGGAGAAGCGACACAGCCCACATAAGGTGCCTGATACGTATCCATACCTGCATTTGTTGAAAGGTAAGGCGGAGGATCATGAGCAAAAGTAAGAGAAGATAATTTGCAGTTGTCCTGGCGACTGTCCCGTAGAAACAAACAAAGCTGGGAAGCAGCATCATGAACAAACACCATCTGACTAGACAGCTCCACGTGAACAGCAACCACAAAACATAAACACGTATGTGTAATATAGTATACGTATGTACATACATACATACATATATATATATATATATGTATATATTGTATTTATATGTTGTATGTGTGGGTGTATACACACATATATACACATACATGTATGCATATACAAACAAAAAACATAGACATCTACATACATGTATATACATATACATATACATAGACAAAGACACCGTACACATGCACAGACACAAACACATGCACATACACCACACCTACACCTACAGGCACGTGCACATGCGCTGCACAGGCACATACGCAGAGGCATGCACATATACATACACAGACAGACAGAAAAAACAAACAAACAGTGCGTTCCTACGTGTATGTGTGTATATGATTATATGAATATATATATATATATATATATATATATTCATATACAGGTTTGTCTTTGTGTCTGCATTTACAGTGTGAAGTGTAGCCGTCCACTCATTATGCACACATATGTGTCTTCACCCCCCAAGGCATGGTTAGAGCCGAGCCACTTCTCCTGGCACAAACTTCTTCTGAACATGGCCTTGATGTTGCTGCTATCCAGCTCCTCGGATATCAAGGACTCGGGGGTTTTACTGGCCACATGTCCGCCAAGCATGCGTTGGGATTCGAATGTGGAGTTAAGGCCTCAGAACATGGGTGAACACACATGTGAGTGATGAGCCCAGTTGAAGCTGTTAATGCAAATCGATACCCTGTTGTGCAAAAGAAGGGAGGGCCAGCATGCATCGAGAAGTCATACATGCACGGACATCCTCTCAGAAAAGCCTGAAGAATTCTCTCACAACACAAACCTACACGCCACTGGCTTCTCAATCTGATTCAACCTCTTGAACTCCCTGGCCATTTCTTGGCACTTGTGTTGGCCACTCGCCCGTCCAAAGAATGTCCAAGCTGCAAGGACGTCCTCGCAGGAAGTTCTCGCCTCAGGGCTCAAATCTGTGATGCTGCTGATTGCGACCCAGACTTGACATCGCTACGAAAGCTCTTTGAAAGAACATCGTACAGAGTTTTAGCTTCTTGTTCAGGAACAACTGATACGCGTGACGGCGGAGGGTAGTCGTCGTAGCGGCGGCAGCAGTAGCACTTGGAGCTTCAGTTGTAGTTGTTGCTGTGCCGTCGTCGCAGTAGTAGAATTCGTCGTCGTCGCAGCCGTATATCAACGATGTGGTAGGTTTCTTTGTCAACCACATGGCATGCCAATGACAGCTCCGCGGGGACTTAAATGGTAACTAGTAGGTGGTGGTAGTAGTCGTCGTAGTAGTCGCCGTGGTGGTCGTCGTCATCGTCGTCGTAGTAGTAGTAGTAGTAGCAGTAGCAGTAGCAGTAGCAGTAGCAGTGGTAGTAGTAGTAGTAGTAGTAGTAGTAGTAGTTAGTTATGGTAGTCGGTGTGGCAGCAGCAGCAGCAGGAGCAGGTGGCAGCCGGATTTGCCGGATCGTGCTGATAGTAGGTGGCACCGAAGAAGCAGCAGCAACAGCGACTTCGCAATACGTGGAGTACTGGTATTCGAGCCCACCCTGCCAACACTACGATGATTGATGCAAAATGTTCAAGCAGCTTCGTCCAAGCGTGATGCCATCCTGGGGACTTTTTGTGGTGAGTTACTGTTACTGGGATCTGCTGGGGTTTGAAGCTGAGTGCCATGCATGCAAACGTCCCGTTTTAATTTCGGGTCTGTCAGGAGCCTGCGAACGGCATGCAAGCAGCCCTTGTGCGAGCAGCAAGTTTGCACTAACACCGTTTGTCTGAACATGATGTGTGCAACATGCTCAAGCAAACGTGTACCGTGCTTGGACTTGGAATGCTCATGACTGTACATGACGAGACCAAAGGGCCCCCGCAACGCCTTCATGGGCACCGCTCGCTGCGTGCGCCCAATTGGACACAAAAGGTGTTACGATGCGGGTTGGGTGTAGGTCCAAGAAAGATTCAAAAGCAGGATTTCCGAATTTTCGGAGATCCCCATGAACCTGAACCACTTCCTCACTGGAATCATCACACAGGGTTTCATTCTTGGCATGTACAATCTCTTAAGGTTCTGAGATTCTGGTCGTCCCTGGCGTTGGGCGGCCGATGGCCTCTACAAAAGATTTGTCAAGACAAAGGCAACTCAGAGCTACTGGGACAAATTGGGCAGGAGCGCGTAGTTGTTGAAACGGATCGGACCCGAAGCAGTATACAATCCCTGTGGAAGACGTGCCCGCAGCGAAGAACTGCTACCTGACTGGAGGGCCGGAAATCCGTCAAGCAGCACACACAGGTCTTGCTCTGCAGGACCTTCGTCACCGGCATTTCAGAGATAGGGTTCCCCTCGACGAGAATTTGACCAGGTCGGACGTAAACATTGCAGAACCTGGATACATCTGCTGCCAGGTCCTTGTATTTGCAGACTGCCCACAGAAAACTTGGCAAGGCCTCTGGCCTCTGGCCATGGATTCGGTCACTCCGCTCATGCAGGAAGACTTGTGCGAAAGCACCGAAGATGGATGACAAGCCGAGGGACAGCAAGAGCAGAGAGAACCACTTTTTGCTAGGCCTGTCCCTGTTGCCAATCACGGGGCGGAAGATTCCCAAGGAGCCGGCGGCTAGTAGAAAACAGCCCACGATGGCTAAGAGTGCTGCCAGTCGCCTGGGATCTCTCCTGCCTTTGCCCATGCTCGCAGGAGTGTGCCGTCCAGGATTCTGAGCTCTACTTCCCACGGCGTCCTACCCCATGTGCTCTCGAGCCGCCGCGTGCATGAAGCATAGATCCGAACCATGCAGAATCCAAAGCCTTCAAACTTGCCGGTTTCAGGAAAGTTTATAGGCGGCTGCGGGGTAGCAATATCGCAAAGTCGTATAGGGTTCCTCGGGAGCATACACGAGAGGATGAATAGCTTCACCTCGCACGTCGCTATCGGTGCCAACCCCAAAACCCAAAACTACAGAAGGAGGCCGAAACATCAACACATCTACAGAAGGAGCGCATGGCCTTCTTGTAAAAGGGCTCGGCAGCATTCTTCCCCCCGGATTGGGCGGCAGCCTCGCCGGCTTTGATGTAACCTGTGGCTCTGCACGACACAGCTGTGATTCTGCAGCCTCCCTAACTAGGGTACGTTTTTGGGGTACCTATTAGGGTGCCGATTACAGTGAACTCCAGAAAGTTGGAACATGGATTTAGGATGATTGGTGCGGGGATGCCCTATACTTTACAGTAAGGTTATGAGGATTATGATGTTCCAACTTTCTGGCTTCTACTGTGGGGTACCTATCAGCTTCTACCCCTTGACCAGAACTCCTCTGCAAATCTCGCCAAGACTTCTCGCATCACAACTTCACTGCGCCGCAACCGAAAGGAGCCCACAGAGCCTTCTTCCTCCCAGAAATCCCAGAGATCTGGCTACGGTGAGATATCCGGAAGCCCTCTCCGGGGGTCCTTATTATAAGGATCCTACTATTTAGGGTAGTATATTTGGGAGATCGGGCATCAAGCCTCATCGTCAACATGTTGTTCAGCAGCTTTCGGGGATTCAGCGGGGCATCAAGACCTAGTGCGGCCGACAAGCACTGCGCGCTATTGAGATGGCAAGACACCTCAAGGGCGGATCGAAATGCTGACTTTGCTGTATCATCGCCCTTACGCCGGTTTCGAGCCCGCTTTGATGTGGCATATGTATAGCAGTATAGCTCTTCTGGTCCAGTTTACTCCCCTCGTACACACGCACGTGTGAGGCTGTGAGGCTGTGATGCCGAGTTCATGCCTAATCTTGGGTGCGTACTTGTTTGTAGGCATGCAGGAACCAACTGGACGAAAACGGAAGCTTGAACAGACATGCATATTTCTGCCACATGCCTGGGTGTGTGTGTGCGTGCAAGTAAGTGCGTGAACCGTGTAAACTAACATACATGATGGCAGGTCTCTGCGTATGCATGCAGAGAGAGAGAGAGAGAGAGAGAGAGAGAGAGAGAGAGAAACAGAGAGGGATGGAGGGAGTGATAGGGATAGGAAGTGACCGACTACATGCCTAAATGTACACAGGCATTCGATACGCACTTTCCAACTGTAACGTGCAGAACTGTCACGGACTGACTGAAGGCATCGTACTGGCGTTCCCTTGGCAAAGGCTTCCACTGCTCGGCGCTCGGGATAATTACAGTCGTACATACTAGTTGGTCTGCAGCGAGCACTGCGCTGCGTAATGGTTTAGCTCGGTGTCAAAGAACGAGGGAGGCCTACTGCCATGGTCCCCAACCGCCCAGGGAAATCGTCCGAACTGTTCTGATGATGTAATTATACTTGATAAAGTGCAGTGCTGTACCCTGTGATAGCATGTAGCGAGAGCACCGAACCTGGGATGGCATGGTACATGGCGTATTGCAGTGTAAGTTCGTGGCTTCAGCAAATCCTCGGTATGTCTACCTATACCTTCCGATAACACCGGAATCCCTCGCCCTTCCGATCCGATAGCTCCCACCTTCACCTTCTTGGCTTCCTCCGCCTCATCAGGTGTCAAATTGCTGACCACCTCGGGTCGACTGACCTGGAGCTTCAGGGCTTGAAGCGTACTTTCGCTTCCCCGGCCTTCTCCCAAAAGGATGCTCGGGGCTTCAATTTGCTTTAGTGAGTGCGGACTCATGGGATGAGGGCAGCCGCTCTTGCTGCCAAAACCTCTGAACTCTTAAATCGAAGCTGTCAGTGGGGTGTCAGTGGGAGTCGTAGTTGCTGTTGGAGTGATGCTTGGGCGCTCTGTGTGTCAGGTACAGTTACAATTATCTCAATAGGTTCTGCTCAAGCAACGTAGAAGAAGGGCCCCATCTCCTTATCGAGAGACCAGTGTAACACAGGACATCCTTGTGACAACATGCCCCTTCTTGGCCTGCGAAAACGCTGACCTACTCTGAATCCCAAAACACATGGGAGTTTCCGAAACTTGGGTGGGTACCCTGTGTCCGGGTCCTTAAAATAAGGATAACTCCCACATGGGGAATCGCGTGTGACTTACACGTCTCTGGCTTCAGGCAGGTTTTACTGGAACCGACACCTGCCAAAAGCAAACTGCCCACATCCGAAAACCACCACTGAAAAAGCCGACGCTTTGCAATAAACTCGTCGTCTGCGACACCTGAGCCATGCATTGCTGTTCCTGCGTTTAGAGTTCTCTGGGTCCAAAGATAGACAAGGTGCGTGGTCGATGGCTTTCTTGTATCTTCTGACGGCCTCTCAAACTGAAAGACCGCCAGGAAGGCTCCCAATCACTGGTACAAGGATTTGCCATGCTGCCCTTCGCTCTCTGAGCTAGGAGCATCGTCAAACTTCTGAGCTTTGAACATGTCCTCGGACATCGATGCAAATATCAAGACGAAGGTTTAGGGTGTTGGATGGTTGTGGGACTTCCAACCAGACGAAACTCGATTCAGGGTGAGTGAAACCTCTGCGAGCGACAACATGCTTGCTTTTGCGGCAAGCTCTTCTGCTTTAGTAGGTGTTCTTCGTACACGTAGACAAGCCCCGATTCTAGGGTCTAGAACCATCTTCCGTCCCAGCGGCATTGCCCTCGTCCTTGTTCTTCTGGGCTAGTCTTATTCGATCCTCTTTCTTCATGGTCCTTTCATCCTGGCCGTCTGGGCGCTTCATCGTCAACTACCGCTTCTTATAAGGACCCCAAAATAAGGTACCCCGAATTATCGGAAACCCCCATATGGTATGGGGGCGTGCGGGCTTCGGGTTTAGGGTTCCCAGATAGCTGCATGGAGTGATTGAAGCAAGACCTTCCCTCAGCATGGTCATGCCAACGTGCTCGTTCATGCTGCTGCGCAGAACAGCACCCGCAAACTGACTACCTGTCTCGAGAATCTGGAGACACCGAAATCCCTCGACTCAGGTATCTGCTGCTTAAGCTATGCAGGGTAGGAAACTTGTAATTAATCAAGATCCTTGCAACTCATCTTACAATATACGTTGATATGATATACTTCATATTAAGACAGAAAAAACTAGAGTAGAACAAATATGACATGAAGAACATACTAAGACATGACATCGCATAGCACAACATAACGCAGTAGTTCCAATCAAAAAGCAAAACCCAACTCTACAATATAGCATAAATCCAAAACTACCATAACACCGAGCCCCTTTAAAAAAAAAATGCTCGGTGCCTTGTCAAAATCCATGCCCAGCTCTTTTCGCCGCTCTCGTTCGGCGGCAGCTGCCTCCTCGATCGCCTTCTCCTGGTCCTCGAACTCCTGAAGAAGGCCAAGGGGTAGAACCCTGAATAACTTACCTTTTTTAGGGCTCCTTATTATGATTTCTTTAAAAAGGGGGGCCAAGGGTATAACTTAGAAGGGGCCCCCACCCTAACTTAGAAGGGGCCCCCATCCTGACATAGTGACTGCAAGGATTACAATCGGGCCCTATTATCTTCCGATTATACCACTATTACAGTGTGGGGGCCCCTTCTAAGGGTATAACCCTGAATAACCTACCTGTTTAAGGGTTCATTATTATGATTTCTTTATATAAACCCTTAAAAAGGAGGGCCAACCTGAACCCTGGATAACCTACCTTTTTGGGGTTCCGTATTATGATTTCCTTATATAAATCCTTAAACAAGAGGGCCAACCTTAACCCTGAATAGCCTACCTTTTTCGGGCTTCTTATTATGACTTCCTCAAATAAGTCCTTAAAGAGGTTGGTTTTTTGGGGTCTAGGAAGGGTATAAAGAGTTTGGAGTTTCGGCGCTCACACTAGGGTTTAGGGTTCAGAGTTTTAGGTTCTTGAACGTTTTGGAGGGTTTGGGGCCAGGGTGTCTGGGGTTCAGAGTTTCGTTTCCAGCACGGTGCAGGTTTAGGGCTGCCATGCACTAAGAGATGTAGGCCAAACAATTCCGGATCGCCACCCCGAAGAGCCAATCTGTGAGTGTCGGACCCCTAAAGCCAAACACCTACACATGGGGCACTGCCTCATGAGACTTTGATTGTCTTTGTTGTTCGGTTCTGATACCGCACGATGCTCTAGCAAAGGATTAGCGTGAACGCGATGTTCACCATCCGCTCGAGGCTCGAGGATATCAGATATGGCATTGGGCGCCAGTATATGCACCGAGTGGCCGCAACGCAAGCTTTGGGCATGGCCAGCAAGTTTCGGGGTAAAGCGGAAACACTACAGTTATCAGTCTTCAGTGTGCCATGCTCACGCCTTCGCCTTCTTCTCAAAGTATGCTGCCCCCGATTGCTTCACGAAGGTCTCCACCTTCAGAGGTTCCAAAAATCTCGAAGCAGTCAAGGACGAAGAAGACGTGTTCAGTAAGGATCTTCATGCCATGACCGAGATATTGCATTAACATACGAACTCATAAGCTAGTTATGGTAGCTTGCACTTCGTTCCTTGCGGCAGCCAGTGCCCGGAGACAAGGAAATCTCTGACACGCTGCAAGAGTTTATGTATCTATTTGTGTATGCATGCAGGTATGTATAGTATATGTATATATCTATGTATATGTATATAATATGTATCTATATATATAGAGAGAGAGAGAGAGAGAGACATTTATGCATTTATACATATATATATATACACTATATATATATATATATATATATATATGCTCGATGTCATAAAGCTGTGAACTCGAGGTCGACAGGTTGTGCATGGCCCTCCCGGTGGATTCTGAAGAATAGGAGCCCCATTATTCTGCCCTGCTCTACCCACGTTGGGTCCGTGTGTGGCATAGAAAGTGCTAGCAATCATGACAGGACAAAAAGCCGCTGGAATTTGGGGAGAAAAGAAGGGGGGGGTTTGGGGTTGCCATGGAGGTGTAGGATTAGGGCTTCGAGTTTGGAACGTTGACTTTCGGCTCTCCCTGAAACTTGCACTTGGATGCAGTTTCACAGAGGTTCCTTTCTTCACCTGGGGTCAGGATCAGACACCGAAAGCCTGCAATAGAGGGGCTTTAATGATTAGAACAGGGTTTGGGGGATATTGAGCTGCAACTCTCTCCACCTTGGTACCCACAGACAACTATCAAACAGCTAAACACTTTGGGGAGGCGCCATTCGCCGCCATGTAAAACTATGTAGACTGTAACTTTAAGTGTGGCTACTATGAGGGGCCACCATTACTCCTGGTAGCTATTCAGACCCGTGTAGTATACTCTTGCATCTCTGCCTGGCCTCCTGCAATTTGTCCGCGTAAGTCTGGTAGGAGGTAGGCTCTTCAGCCATGTCTGCATCCTCTTAACACAATGGTTTTTAACGCCAGTGCACGCATGACCACTGTGCTTCCTTACCACCTAGAGATAGCGAAGCTAGTTGGCCAAAGGAGCGATCTGGCCTTATGGACCACGGCTCTGAGCCCCTTGGAGAACCCCCAAAGACTGTACCACAATCCTAACAAAATCGTTTGGGAGAGACGCTTCCGGATTCGTTTATGCGAGGTCCTCAAACCAGAGAACCACTTTGTCCAGGAACGGGTTCAGCTCGCTTGGGTTCAGCAGAGAACCGTCCTTTCCGTTCCTGATCAGTTGGCTGAGTGACTTGAAACTCACATGACGGGGTGAAAACTTTACACCGAGCCCGAGGCCCTGCATGGAAACGATACAATGGGCTTCCATCTCTCCCGCCCCAAGTGCTGGATTCAAACGGTCATACAGCTTTGCTGCCCTTAGGTGTGCCAGGATGAAGGCTTGGGCGGGTGCCCATGTTCCTGCAGTCGAGGTACATCCAATCTCGGACCTGGTACACGTAGGATTCCAGTGTATTCCTCTTTTCGAGGCGTCGCCTCAGCGGGCGCTTGCTCAGGTGCACATGCACTGGCCTTCGCGGGGAGTGAACTTTCCAGGGCCTGTAGGCCATGCAAGCTCCGGCGGCTAGTATCCACTGGCGAAATGACTGGTCCATTATACTAAACCGGCGATACATCATATACGGCCTGAATAATTGGAATAGTGTTTTGGGGTATATTATACTATCTTCGTCTATCGTTATAAGACGAGCGAGGGGACTTTTTGTAAAGACTAATGCCAATGGCTCCGGTGACCAAAAATAATGAATCATCCTGAATCTTGCCGGCCGGGGGACACCTCCTCGCTGTTGACTGCCTCTATCTCAGCTTCGTGCGCACGGACCCGAGCGAGCTCATCGGCATCTAGACCACCTGGCGCCCATACACTACAGTTTCCTCTGGCTCAATATCATATACAACAACATGATGTAGCATAACATAACCTAGGACATAGGACAATATCGTATCATATAGCAGAAACTAATGAGAAACGTGATTTGGCACATCTGAAGATGATGCAATATAACATCACATTCACAGAGCAGCTGAAGTTTCTGCCTTTAACTGTTTGCTCTTACAGTTCCAACATCAAAAGCCGCGCACGTTGCTTTCCAAGCCAACCTCTTGTCGAGTTGTAGGGCATTGGAAGGTTTCCTTCGATAGCTATAGCGTAACATACTCCAAAACCCTTTTCTAACTATTCTCTCTCTCTCTCTCTCTCTCTCTCTCTCTCTCTCTCACTCTCCCTCTCTCTCTTTCTTTCTCTCTCTCCGCCGCATCTAATTATTATGGCCCTGAGTTATGTACCACCCGTTTGACAATCAGGCCGAAGACTGCCCCGGTCCAGCTGACAACGATGCAGGCGACGATGATGATGATGATGCTAGTTGTCAAAAGTATGGTCCCTTTTTGGGGGTACCCTAAATAATAGGTTCCACCCTTAGGACCCAACAGGGGAACCATCATTTTGACAACCACCCTTCATGATGATGATCGCCGACCTGTGTCTGACGATATCGGACGTGGTCGTGGTGCGGACAAGATGAGGATAGATGAGGCAAGCATCGTGGGCACTGCACGCACGATCCACTCTATGGAAGAACACCTAAAGCCCCAAAGCCCTGAACCCTAAGCCCTCTACCCCAAAACCCTAAAAACCGTGCCAAACCCTGGAACGAAAATCTGTGACCTTCTTGCATCCAAGCCTAAACAGGTGATGCTGAAACGCAGAAGCGACTTTCCGAAAAATTAGGGGTACCTTGAATTGGAGTCCTTATAATGAGGATCCTTCTATTTCAATTTAAGGTCGTTATAGTTAGGATCCCCTAATTTTTGGAAACTCCCCCAAAAACCTAAACCTAAACCCCCCATTTCGGAAACCCCCAAAACGCCCCCGAGCCCTGCCTACGCCCATCGGCGCGTCCATCGCTGACACTGGCCGCCTGCCAGCTGCCCAAGCCGCTGCGCCCGTGGCCACACAGCCTTTCAGAGCAGAGTAATGCAGGGGCCTTAATAATTAGACTAGGGGCTCCTTTAAACGGGTCTATAAGGGACCTATAGTAGGGTTCTAGAATGGGGGCCTTAAGAATTAGAATAGGGTTTTGGGCCCATCATACTATAATTATAATCAGGAACCCTTAGAGTAAAGGTAAGTGTTCAGGCCCCTAGGTACGGTGTCCGTCGTGTGGAAGCCAAAATCAGGGTTTCTGCAAGGCTCTTTCCTGTTCTGTGCCGGTTCGATAAGAGGTTCGGGGTGTAAGGTCTGAACACTAGACTCTATAGGTTTTGGGGGGTCTGCGGACTGGAAATACAGGACGCAGAGAGTCCCAAAGATGATCCCAGATTTCTCAGATCAACATATCATTTGGTCCAACTTTCTTTGATTTGAAAGGCTCCAATAGTCCCCAGCATTCCTCAACTCAGGATCCAGTCTTGAGAATGCTTCTCGAGTTTGACGAAGGGTCATGCGAGTTATTTCATGAAAAAACATCTTGAAGATGGTGCTATAGTTACTAGTTGGGATGTTTACGCAGACCTAGCGCCTCGCAGAGTCCAACAATAGAATGTGGTGCGCATATCAACTCGCCACTGCGCATCAAGCTCGAAATTGCCGCCGTGTTGCTGGCCCCATCAAGCCCGAAACGCAACGGAACCGACTCACCGACGGCATCTTTCACCTCATCTCGACGAGGCACTTGTCTACTTGCTTTTGTGTAATTCATTCTACTGCCGGGGGCTTGGTCGGAAGCTTTAGACAGGCTTGGGAGATCTTGCAAGGGACTTCTTCTTCCTGTGCTGAGCTCGTCTTGTCGCCCTGAACACAACTCGAATGCATCGAGGCCAACCTGCGCAACGTCCCTGGATCTGTCACAGCGACCTGTCTTCAACCAGGTACACCCTGCGGACTTTTAGGGATTAGTGGCTTCTTTAATTACCGTGCTGGCTCTACGGTTGCTGAGAGCCCCCATCCTAAATCCAAACCGTTACAAGGCTTGAGGTTCATGGGCCCAGTTGCCAGCTTCTGCACTGCTGGGATGCGACCGCCGCCGCCGACGAGTTCAACGGCCTCAGAGAGGAGGTGTCGATCGTTTTCAAGCTTCCGTCACTGCATCACGACTCGTTGTGCCTATATACCGCCGATCACGAAACGTACCTCCGATTTGAAGAACCCCTACACCCTAACCTGAATACATCATCTGTTGCGGGGCCTCAAGCGAGCTTGTGGCTGCTGCTGCGGCCAAGACCTGTTGCACAAAGGGCCATGTAATGTTCAACAACAGACGGCTCACAGGATGGATGTCGCGATTGCTCTGTCTAGTGATCAGTTGGTAGTAGAGGACAGTAGATGCCTGTCTTGCAGGATCAATCGCTAAATCAATTGAAATCCTCTGCTAGGCACTAAACGTACTCACGGCCTGTTGCACCTATGGTTGCATCTCTACTGTGACGCTTGCGGGCACAGTTGACCCCACGAAACCGGTCGACACACCAGTGCACCTCAGAATTTGCCGATGTCACTACCCAAAACAGAAGAGAGAGGCAAAGCATACAGGGAAAACGGTTCTGATCATGATCATGATTCCGACTGTTACTTTACGATCAGCTCCTGGCTCAAGCGACGGCTATCTTGGCGACTGTGGTTGCGACTATGACTATAGATTCTCATGCTGAGGCCCGCAGACAACAAGAACTTACAGCAGCACCTCCCCAACCCGAGTTTGAAAGATCCTTTAGTACAAGCGCATAAAGACCGGCCTGCAAGTAGGCCACGGCTCACTAGAAAGGAGGCAAACCCAAAGCCCCGACCCCACATCCACATTCGTCCGGAGCGGGACACGGAGTCTGCAGGCTAAACAGTGGCTTAGGCTAGGATCATCGAAAAAGGTCCGAAGGGCAGACAAGCACGTATATACTGTTACCCACAGTAGAGATGCCCATGCAGGAAGGACCCTAGGTCCGAGACCTCCTTCAGCCGAGTGAGAACTGACGCTGCTGCAGCCTGCATGGCTTGCATCGGCGCACTCCGACATGAATTCTGAGGATGGGGGACCGAAGGGTACATCCTTGCCTCGTGGCCTCGAAACTTTGGAAACGTATTGCCGCCTCAAGCCTCAAGGGGTTCTCAAGTTATGCACTGCTTTTGTTGAGGCTGCTCAAGCTTTGAGCTTCGAGTTCGGGCTAGTCGTCGCTTCAGAAGCATCGACGTCCAAGAATGGGTCCGGCAGTTCTTGCCAGCCGAGACATGAGCCATGCCAGGACGAAGATAGTAATGCATGACGTCACGCGGACAAAACAAACCCTCAACACTCTTGGGATACGACTCCTTTATCGTGTGAAAAAACAGAAAAAACAAAACCATAAAGTTCTGCATCCTTGGGGTCCTGATAACAAGGATCCTCCGATGCATAGGCGCATAGGCCAGTAGTAAGACCCCTCTCGCTCTCTCGTGCTCTGTCTCCGCACTCCCATATCTGACATGCCGGAAGTACCTCGAAGGCAGCTCGGGTCAAAGGAACCGAGATGTCGATTTCGGGTCCATCTGGACCCTCCGGCATGAATGCCTCAAGTCCTGAAAAAGGGATGGCTTTTCGGTGTTCTCTGCAGGTTTCTGGGGCTTGATCTGGGTGATATGCGGGTTCCTTAGCTTAGCACGTGGGGGTGCACTGTGCAGTATAATCTAGAACAGGGATATCTATAGAACTTGATGAGCATCTGGCAACCTCAACTCGAGGCACAATACTCAAACAAACAACCAGCACCGAGGGCAATAATAAGCATATGCGTTCGGCTAAAGACGCATGGACGACAGGTGCAGATGCAAGGACAACCCAAGATAAGACATCCAAAGAGACGACTATCAAGCTTCGATGTGGCAAACGAAAACAACATAAAGCTTCTATCCATTTGAGCAGGTTGGTAGTGCATAACTTAAACTTTCTCTTCCAGGATTACTTCGCCAATCCCTTGCCAATCTGACGTCAAACCTTCTTACTTTGCATAACTTTGCATCTTATTTGCAAGTCAAGCTGCCCATTTCTGCATCCGGGAGCATGCTAAGTTGCTTCAGGGCATGGATGGCCTCGCAAGAACCACTCCGGGAGGCGCTTTAGGGTCATTCCTGCCGTTCTGCTGAAACTCCCACATTGCATTGGTGTGAAAATTGTACCCCGGTACTGCATCGCCAGAGTGCCCAGCACTCGTGCAGACATGGGGGGGGGTTCGGCAAGTGCGCGGCTTTCGCAGCTGTTGCAGCCGGAAGGGTCTCAAGAAACTCTTATAGCTTCGACAAATTCGGCGAGCACTCAACTGGCACCTGACGCTTCTTCCCCTGTACAGTTTCAAGCACACGAGGGCAGAATGCAGAAGCATCAATCTCGGCTTACTCATGCATGTGCGGAGGTCTACAATGCTTGCACACCGGACGAACACAAACAAGCAAAGGCAAAGCCGGCCTCGTTGGCAAGGCGAACGCCCGCCTTCGTGCCAAGCTTGACCTATAGATCGGGGATGCGCATCGTAACGGGAGTTGCCTAAACCGAACATACAACGTGGTAACTGCAGGAATAGCACTCGACTGCAACTGGTAGCACCAGCTGAAGTAGCCCCCTACACGTTCAGAGCAAAAAGCTCCGGACTACGAGTACGGCAAAGCCACCCAACTCAACCCGGCGTCCAACCTTGCAGTTGTGCTTCTTCTCTATTCTCGCGATGGCCTCCTTGAGAAGGGCCGACATCAAACCTTCGTCTGCCGGCGATTTCAGGCTTTGGTGTGGTAAGGGCTCAGGCCTGCTGGTTTGTGCGCTGATATCGATAAGGTTGGGGCTTCGGGACTTCCGGCATGGCAATTAGGCTTCGTAGTGGCAACTCTGCCGACATCGCAAGACCTATGTCACCTTATGCCCGATAGCCTCCTCAGCACCAATGCAAACTCCATGTTCATCAGTTCGGCTGGGCGGTGATGTCCGCCCCTCTACCGCTCACAGTGCTTGGCCAACTCACGCCTGGCGTATCTTGTCAGGAATCCCAACATCCCCCCTCCTCCGCAAGAGCGACCTCGACGAGGCCAACAGAAAGCATCGGATATCCAGGATTCTGGCCGAGGTACTCTGCACACCCAGCTCCTCCTCGCTGCAGCGATACCTTGCGGCTGACGGATTTGATGCTAAGCTGTGCAGGGTGCCATGGCGAGAAATGTCGTATGCGACTGGCCTACTTGCCACGCATGCGTGTATCACATTTTACGCTCTCGCAACTCGGACACTGCCAGACGTGGTCTCTCGGTCCGCAGTACAATTCGCTATTTTGCGGTGTTTCGGCCTTGTCATGCGATTGGATCGCACCAACCTATAGACAATTTCGGATCTGGTGCTTTGGGCGGTGGGGCCTGTGGTCCTGAAGTAGTTATCTCCTCGAGTGCATAGCAGAACCAGCGAAAGCGAGTGCTTCGCGCATGTGCTGCTGTTCAAGCAAATCTTTTCGCGAGCCGCCAACGAAAGAAACGCATGACCACTCGCTTCAGCTTATTGCAATCACTAGCCACGCCCGGAAAAAAAAAAAAAAAAAACTACATTGACGAAGCTTTGACCCTGGAAGCTTCAACCCAAAGGTCTCTCTTCAGAGTCTCTCTCGCGCTCGCTCTCTCTCCCTCTCTCACGGGCTCAGTCACCTGGCAGCCTCCGCTCTCCGCACCCAAGATTTTAGTTTTCGTGGTTTATGGGCTGTAGGGTTTAAGGTCTCTTAGTTTCGGCGCTCACACTCGGACAATCCAGGCGAGGCATATGGCTTGGAGTCTGCAAAGTGAAACGACACTAAGAGGCTTCGTCACGACGCCTTCAGCAACAAGTTATGTCAACACATAAAGTGACTGTACCTGCCGACGCAGCCTCTCCCCGGAATCCCTCGACCACAAAGCAGCAGACAACTTGAGACTATGAGGTGAAGAGACTAGACAGATCGCCTGGGGAGGGTATAGGGATAAGACGCTAAGATGTAGACAATTACCTGTGACAAGCCGGGCTGGCTCAGGCATGACGATCTGTATGTGTGAGCATGATCCCCATGATTTTCTTTGTCGGCATGTTACCGACTTTTGGGGAGTGAATTAGTAAGTGCAGGACATTGTGAAACCATGGAATATGTGGAGCTACCTCTAGTCTATCTGCGTGCACGGATGCAAAGCCTCAACCATACATAGGGCTTCAGGTGTTTAGGGCTTCGCTGCTCGCAGTCGGACCGTCGAGGTATGTTCATCGTCACCACGGCAAAAGATCCGCATGGATTCGGCAGCCATGACGCCCCTGATTCCAACACTTGCTGCAAAACCCCGAAAGCAGACGCTTTCGTCCCGTCTATCAATTTTGTCTTAGGCTGAGCCGCAAGAACTCACAGGAGATGCCAGCAGCGAGGGGTGACGAAGCCTCATCGGGGGCGCCCTCTTTTCGTGCAAAGCGGACCTGGGCGCAGGGCTTCGGCTTGCCCGAACATATTGTCTTGAATACTGAGAAAAGGGTTTTGGGGGCCACTATACTATAGTTATAAGAAGGGTCCCCCAAAATAGTTTCGGTACTTCTTCAGGCCCCTGTATTACCAGCCCAGAAAAGCCCAAATCAAGTGTCTCGTGACCACCGGGCTCTGGATCTGGGTGGTCTTGGGGGCAGGTAAGGCCTTGGGGGAGCTGAAACGAAGTCATCGAGTCAGAGGGCTTAGGCACGTAGGGCTTCGGGCTTTTAAAGGGTTGATCTCCGTATGGGCCTGGATGGCTGGCAGCTAAACGAGGGGGGTGTCGATTTTGCGGAGGCTGTCAGATTGACAAGAACTTAAGGGAGCCGGGTGATCGAAGAAGCCAGATTCCGAGAAGCCTTCGAACTGTGACATGGCGCAACGTCGTGCGCCCGTCGCAACCTGGACCCCTGCGGGCGGTCGCAGCTGTGGACAGCCGGGGCACCACCGACACAGTGCCATGCGAAGAGCCGATGTCCACGAATCCGACAACCCGCTCCTGCGGCGATCTGCGACACTGCATTATTCAGTAAGGGACTCTCAGGAGACACTGCTGGCGTAAATCGGCAGAATGTCGAAAAAAAGACCCCTGACGAGTACTTAAACGGGCGCTCTTAAAATCACAGCTCCGGGGCGCCCAGCCATGTGGTTCACACGTGCATCTGCATTACCCCCCAAACCGAAAGCCCCTGTTTCCCAACCCTCGAAGTGTACCGAACCGCTCGGGTCCTCGGTACCCTCGGGAAGCAGGGAGGAACCTCTCCAAGTTGCGGAGACAGAAGGAAGGAAACGATCGTCCCAATGTAGGGGCCGCTATAAATAAACAGGAATTCGTCGTATGTTACAGTAGCAGTATCGACCATCCAGGACTGCAGGAGACTCCTATTACCACTTCTTCTGGACCCTACATTCCAACCGAAACTTGCAATCCGACTTGAAATCTCGGGAAACGTTCCGGCACAAATCGAGCATCTCTCCGTCCAGGTGAACCACATGGTTAGTAAGTTATGTGTGTATATATATATATATATATGCGTGTGTGTACGCATACATGTGTACAAGTTTGTATATAGGTACATAGATAGATAGTTTGATAGATAGATAGATAGATAAATTAGATCGGTAGATACACAAACAGATAGATGGATAGATGGATAGATGGACAGATATACTTTGGACCTTCGATCACATTACTGTCGGTTGCTGCTGCTACTGTATATTGGTTCTAACTGTTCTAACTACCATGCTATACACAATATGCGTCTATATTATGTACTACGTATCGTACATGTTATATAACATGTTACATAATAATTATAGGCTATGCACTTTGTCTTATTCTAATACATGTCATTGCAATTTGGTTGCTATGCTGGGTTAATGCAGCTCAGGTTGGAAGCTGTGAACTACCATACTATGTTGCCTTATCTTATAACATACGTTATCTTACTATGTTGTCTTTATGTTGCAAGATTAGAAGGCCAGGCATAACTATAATCTGTTGTGCTATAGTAGACTGTACCGTATGGTGCGGTACCCTATGACCTTGCATTCACGATGTACTATATATCAACAACTATGTATTATCATAACACATAGGCAGCTCCCTCCGCCTTGGCTATGAGCAAAGGCCACGGCCACAGCATCGGAGTGGCGAAGCAGATGCGCCGAAGCTGCCACGTCTGCAAGGTTCACCTTCGGGACCCAAGAATGGAGATTACGCTCACTTTGAGTTGGAGTTGTCGAAGACACCATGACCTGACGCTCTCATGAACCTAGCAGCCGTACCTCTGTGTTCTTGCTGTGTCACTTCGTGCGATCTGTTCATCCCCACCGGCACAGTCGCGGCGACTTGCAAATGGATTGAGCCAGGTTTGTGCCATGGCGTGTGCTGGCCAAGTACTAAAGGGGGATGCAAGCAAGGCCGTCACAGACATGGAACGGACATATGCCACGCCTGCTTCTGTCTCAGACTCCTGATAGTGCTGCAGAGCCAAGGCACAGCATCCTGCACCACTGCTAGCTCTTGCTCGGAGAGGAAATCTGGGACGGCAATGCAAAGCCTCAGCTCAGATGAATGCAAGGCAAACTGACCCACCTCCTTCCCAGGTATGGGTTGATTCTGAAAATAGGGGACCCTAATATGGTACCATGGTACCCTAAATAGTAGGATCCTTATTGTAAGGACCCCCAACATAAGGTACCCCTAAGTTTCGCAAACTCCCAGAAATTGCAGGACCCAAGGATGATGTGCAACCACTGCCCTCCCTGGTGAAGTTCCAAGGTTCAGATCTCAAGTCCCCCCGGCCCCAGAAATCTCAAGGCATCACTAGGTGGGGCTTTTAAAGCCTTTGAAGAATATTGATAAAAAAGATCCTCTTAACCCCAATAAGGGAAGATATAAAATGTCCCAAAGCCCTCTCCAGATCATAACATGCTGACTGGGCCGAGATGCTGCTGCAAACTGGCTCCAGGGGCGACAGCATAACCTCAGCATGACGCGAACCAGAAACCCTCCATCCGACAGCATGTCGCTTTACAGCCCTTCCCTCCAGCCCCCTCCCGGGCGCCAGAGCCTGGCCCTGATTCCCTGAAGCCGCAGTGACTGTGACCAGTACCAAGCACAAAGTTCTTGCGCATGGGTGTCTCCGGAAGCAATCCGACAAGAGCGAGAATCCAGTCTTTCGCGCAACTTCTTATTGCCAAACTCTCGAGAGCATGGAAAGCTCGGCAAGTGGCTGTTGAGAGTGCGCAGAAGCACCTTAGCTAAGCCATGTGGCAGCATACTCCGGTAAACAAGTGTCACGGTAACCTTAGCCACAGCGGCTTATCCAAGCAATACAGACTGGCGCATTTAAATGCACGATTGTAAAGGCGGGGACCACCTGCCAAAGCCCAAACCGAAGCACACAACACGAGAGTGGGGGGGAGTGGCCTCTTAGCTCCTGAAACAGACATATACATCCGACTCCGGAGAGGCTCGGGACAGGAACATCTCGGAACAACATCATTTGAGAATGGAAAAGGATGAGCTCGAACACCCTCCGGAAAAGCAACCCTGTGCCCAAAGCCCAAGAAAACCTGAAGCTCGAGAAGGCACACTTAGAGGTCCGCAAGTTGAGACTGGGAAGTCCTTGTCATCAAAGGCAACGGGCCCCAATTTCCCGTCCTTGCAGGCAGAAGGAGCGCAGAGGTCAGGGGCTTCTCACGGGTTCCGACGGACTTTTGCCGGCTGCAGTTGGCGTCGGATGTTTACGCTCTCGCCACTCGGGGGTTCTTGGTTCGCATCGACAATCTGGGGCGGTGCACTCGAGTCCGCTTGAGTCTGATGCTTAGGGTTTAGGGCTTCCGGCACTTACGGTGGGCTGAAGAGCAATGGGGTCCTCCTGGATCGGGAAGAGCCACTGGTACTTCTCCGCTCGCTTCCGTGCCGCATCCGAGGCCGCCTCAGCGTCAGAAACCGGGCGAGGGCTTAAGGCTCCCACAAAGCATTCTGCATATGTATTCATATATATATATATATATATATATCTCTCTCTCTCTCTCTCTCTTTGCTTTGCTTTGCTCGGGGTTCGAGGCAGGAGCAGTCCTCCCGCCCCGCGCGTTAGCGCTACCCCATCCAACATCTCTCTCTCTCTCTCTCTCTCTCTCTCTCTTTCTCGCTCTCTCTCTCTCTCTCTCTCTCTCTCTATATATATATATATTTATATTTATATTTATTTACATATATGTATGTATAGAGAGAGAGAGAGAGAGAGAGAGAGAGAGAGAGAGAGAGAGAGAGAGCGAATATGTGTATATATGGTGCCAGGCCGAAGCCTCTCCCTGAGGTAGAGCAGGTTTATGCCTGTATGTAGCACAGCGTTCCTGTGACTATTGTTGCGATCTTACTATCATTCATTCTTTTGCCTGTTCTCATGATTACAGTTCTTCTTAGTCTTCTTCTTCGTATTCTTGTTTTTGTGTTTTCAACCCCGAAGCACCATTAGACCCCCTCTTGCCTGCGTGGTCGGGGCAACTAATTAATTATACTATCGATCATCCCTAGAAGCGGCTCTGCTCAAACTGACAGGAATGCCACTAGCATCTCCGGCTGCATGATGCTTCCATGGCCTATATACCCCTCAACCTCTCTCGCAGAGAAATGAGTGGCGCACCAGCGCCAGCGGTAGGTGTGACAGCGTCTGCTTCGGAGCGCTCATCAAGCGGCCTTCGGCATTTACCTTGGCAAGTCTGCAGGACTCTTTGCAACTTCTCCGCCGGATGATGGCCCCGAAAATAGTACGGCCACTGCTTCCGGTGGTGATACCCGTCCTGACGGAACATGATGCTGGTGTAGTTGAGATCGTTGCGTCTGCAGTGGTGTTGCGACGGATACTCAGCGTATCCAGACGTCAGAAAGACCATGCAAATGACATGTCTAGCAAGCACCAAGCGACACCCACATGTCGAAGCTTGCCGTCGTAAGACACCGCAGCAGGTGTCGATCGTCCAGATACATCATTCGTGCATATGGTAATGGCGTTGCGCTCCTCGTGGCATGTGAGGCGGGCTGAAACCATCCGAAACCAGTCTTCTCAACCCTTACCATCAACTGGGGATGCACATAACTAAACTTTCTTTTGGGGCATGTCCTCCACGCTCGAGGATGCCACAACCTCAGCTTCAGAACTTGTAGCTTTAAGGAATAGGGGTTTCGCAGACTTAAGGTTGGCTTCGGGGTTATGTCACGTCAGCAGTATCATTACGGAGTCCTGGCTAGTTTCAGGGGCTGGCGGTGAGACGAGAGCTTCTGACCATATCCCGCACAGCTGCGCTCCCATCTTCACAACTATTCACAACCGTGGAAAATCCCCAGCCCCATTTCTGAGCTCCCAGCGCAGCTTACTCCCAGATCAATACCCACGAAACGCGCGGCGGGCGGTGGTGTAGGGTAGGGATCGCCAGCCATGGCTGCCTCAGTGGTTCTGAAGTTTACCCTCTCACAACTCGGACAAGCCAGGTGAAGTTCTCGGTGTGAGGTCAAGCTTCGGTTTTGAGGTTTCGACCGACGACTTCTACCATCGAACTATCAGAATCTCAACCACTCTCACAAACACACACACACACAAAAAAAAAAAAGCATCCAACACTAGGCGACCTCATTCCACACAGAACATACCAGGGATGAAGCTTCAAGTTCGGATTACAGATGCATCACTGTATGCCACCTTCTGGTTCCCCCGAGCACACGCTCCAGAGGGAGTCTGGGGATTGACAACGTGCAGCTGGGGGCAACTAGTGGAGGTTCGAGGCCACGATCACATCATCTCAGTGAAGCTTGGTTCAGGGGCCTACATAGCCAGAACATGATTGTCGGAACTTTATGGATCTAATTGCGAAGTGAATCTAACCTCGTTGGTCGTCGAGTATGGTCATGTTACTAACTAGTGGTGAGAAAGATAATGATCATGATTATGATGCTGTGCCATTGCTAGTTGCTTTATGACCTATGACACTACGCGATTAACAATTAGCACCGAGTACTGCTAGACACATCAACCATTATTTCATGATCTGGGCTAAGAAGGACAGCGAGGCTTTGGGGCTTCTTGTCCTAAAGGCCAACTTCCAGCCAGACCACTGCCGCCAAGCAGCGATAGGGAGGTAAGTCGGCTGACCCAAAGCTTCCACAAAGCCAAGAAGAGCATACAACCACGTTGGGATGTTTCGCCATTCGGGAACGAAAAAGGCTGAAAGCCATGCCGTTGCGGCTATACCAGAACAGGTGCGTAGCATGCTTCACTTTTTTAGGCCGTCTGACTCCGTGCCTTGTGCAATCGGAGACTGGCGGAGCAGCTGCGAGCAATATAGGGGCCTGTAGAGTAGGTCCTGTCATTACATGTTGGCCACAAGCGAATATCAGTAAAGTAGATAAACCGGGTCCCTATAAAATGTCGCAATCTAAGATCGTGACTTCGCTTTTGCGAGTTCGACAAGATTGGCGAAAATCCGGCAGCCATCCAGTGCGAGACAAACCTTCCGTTCAAGATCCATGAGAACACGCATCTTGTTCTGATGGTGCCGGCGCAGGCAGATGTAGCAAGAGCAGAAGTACAGGCTGCACTGATCCGGCGAAAAACAAAGCACCAATTCAGTGGGGATGACCTCGTGTGTAAGATGAAGGGGTATCTTCAGTCAGCCCTCCTCAGACGTACCACATGCTCTTATAAACAGTCAAGCTTCGAGATCACTGAGACTTGTGCTCGGAAACTTAAGTAAGGGGTGTGGTGTTGGCCGAAACCAGGCTGTGACTAAGCAGTCATAAGCCGGTGATCTCAAATGACCCGTGGTGCACAACTAAATCCCATCAGGGAAACTACGGATACTGTCGCCAATGCGACGCTACCACTGCCTCTTCGAGTATGAACCTTCGCCCAGAAACCATACAACGCAGACTCTTGCTGCGAAAACTGGCACAAAAACTTAATCCATGGTGGTCTCGATTCAACCGATGGAAGTAAAGGGCATCCCAAGAGTGAGAGAGGCAGCGCAGAAAGGGCCGGCATGCACGGTCAAGACTCTCTACAGCTCCTGACTCTATGCACAGAGCTGCCCTCGAACTACTGCTCTACTGCAACCTCCACAAGAGGATTCTACAAGAGGAGGTAAAGGTGCCCTTTGTGGCATCGGAGTCTAGGGTTTAGGGACGTGCGTTTGGCAATCTCAGACCAAGGATTCGAGTCTGTCGGAAGTTGCAGCTCCCAGGGAAAATCTCTAAGAAGCTAATACACACGACGATACCACACGATGTACTCGGGATACACCTGGTGATTGTCGAATACCTGGCTGTCAGACTAGTCTTCGGAGCCAGGTCAAAGACTACCTACTTGTTCATAGCTGCTGTGGCATGATCAACGATCAACGTGTCTCCTGCACTTTCTTCGCACAAAACGAGTTTGATACCAACGTGAGTGCCTGTAACCCTGTCTGATCCCGCCCACATTGCTAGACACTACTGACTCACTGCGGCAAAGAGGACATGTGAAGGTTCGCGAGTCGCGATGTCCTAACAACCAAATCGGCATGGGGAGAACGCAGGAAGTTGTTGCATGCATGCTCTGCTGTCGGAGGAGATCTTGATCGTCATTAAAGAAACCTGTGTGTAAACCTCAACCTGAACCAGGTCCGGGCACAATGAACTCGCGGAACGTTCCGTTGACTTTCTCCCGATCTCCGAGGATGCTGTGGTGGCCTGTCTGCGTTCGAGCCCTCTGCAAGCTGCAGCTGAGTTCCGTCCCTTTTTGAAACCTTACAGTAACCAACCTGCCCATCAGGCTGGGCTCTGCCAAAATCACAAGCCCACACGTCACATGATCGTCGCCTCCTCGCTCACCGCAAGCGGCCACGAGACTCGCGCTGATTTCAACCGGCGAGGGATGGTCACAATAGAGAACATTCCCAAGCACCTGCAGCTTAATGTAGGAACTTGATTAAGAATTTCCCCGGATTAAACAAGAAAAGGCCGGGTGTTGGGGTCAGATTTGTATGTGTTTCAATTGAAGCCCAAATAAAAATGAAAAATTGAAAAAACAACCCCCGAATTAGATAGGCTCGTTCCATCCAGACAAACAATTTGATTGACTTTCAATTGAACCCAAAATAAATAAAATATCACCCCCAATTAAACAGGACACCCCACAGCCCGGACCCTGAATAATTCTTAAAGATAACCCCCTGATTAAAAAGGGCCTAATCCCTCACAGCAACCAGCACGCCCCCAATTAATTTTATAGCTTACAGCCCCTGAATAGATAGGACCCCACACCACCCAACCCTTCTTATGGACCCTGAGTTTTTCTTAAAGATTACCCCCTGATTAAAAAGGGTCTAATCCCTCACAGCAACTAACCCCCTACTATTAAATTTTTAGCTTACCACCCTTGATCAAGCAGGACCCCCACACTCCCCTTACCCTTGTTATGAACCCTGAGCATAGCAGTGTTGCGTTGTTTAAAACTCACAAAACACTGTAATGCTCAAAAAATTGACTTTTTACAGCCTCAAAGCTCACGAAACACTGCTATGCTCAAAAAATTCCAAAGTTTTAAGGAATTTGCCCCCGTCCTGGCCCTAGATGCCAGAATTTTGGGATTTTGGAATTTTTTGAGCATTGCAGTGTTTCGTGGTTGGGAATTTTGGAATTTTTTGAGCATAGCAGTGTTTCGTGCGCCCCATGCCCCAAGAACCACGATGGCGTGGATCTTGGGGGGGGGGGGGGCGAGCATATATATACAGATATATATATATATATACAGATATGTATGTATGTATGCATGTTTGTATGTATGTATATATATATATATATATATATATATATAGATTTCTCTATAGATTTGTATGCACATATATGTAACACCTGGAAGAGAGCCAAACAACGTGACCGAGAATCGTTCAAAGGCTCGCGAGTGCTTGGACGGTCTGAAGCTTCTGTGGATTGCAGCCCTTTGACCCTTTCTACTGCCCTTGGCACGCCGAAGTACTCCCAAACTCCCGTTTTGCCACTGGACTCAAGTCTAGCCAGTCTACGACCCACAATCATCTTGACCGAGGCCGACATGCAGCACCGATAACGCCGCCTTTCGGAGGACTCCCTAAACCGGCCCTAAACCCTAAAACCTACTCCACGACGCCAAGGCACAGCCCTGCAAAGCAAGAGTGGAAAGTATCCCCGGTGATCGGCTTGTGTGTACTCGTCCGCCTTCATGCCTGAAGTTGACAACTCTTCTGGGGCAAAGGCTTCTTATGGGAGTTTCCGAAAATAGGGGACCCTAATATTGTCCCCTAAATAGTAGGATCCTGATTAGAAGGGCTTCTTATCATCTCCTTTTCTCGAAGGGGTCGGTGTGAGCATAAGACTGAGCAGATCGCGGGCACCTTACCGGATCTTCTGTTCATGCGTCAGTAGCACATGCCTTGAGATGCCATGTGGGATGGATACACCAATGAATGAACACGCATGAAACGACGAGAGTGAATGCGGATGAACGAATTGAATGGATGATTCAATACGTTTTCTGACTGGGCTTAGATTGTGTGCGAATGAGTACATGAATACATGAACGAATACATGAATGAACGAAGAAATCACCTGTCTGCTCCAGTTCGCCAGACTCCAAAGCTAACTAAGGAAATATAACAGCATGGTAGTCCTTTCGCTTCTTATGCTACTCAGCCCACTGATTAGAGAGGTCCGACATAAACATAATTAAACCAGCCAACGAATACTACCAGTCGGCCAGAACAATACTAACATGAATGCTCTATCTTCTCGTCATCATAGCAGAAAGTGCAACATCATAATGTCATCCATAACACTACGCTCTAGCATGAGCAAACGATTCATGATGTGATGCCCACTCCGAGCGGCAGCTTTCAGCCAGATAGATGCCTGGCCCGAAGAGCGATCCGAAAGCAGTCCCTGCACCTTCCGTTGTGGGGCGCTTGCCCGGGTTCAGGGCATCGGCAAAAGACGAACTTAGGGGAGTTAACAAGGAGTGCAAGTCAATAGCCAAGTCTACCCAAAAGGCAAACGCAGGATTACTGGTCGCTCCAAGCAGGTACATCACACAGGGTAGCAGCATAGGCATGATTCAGCCATTCGCAGGGCGGCACAGGATTAGATGGTTTCGGCCCGCTTCGAATTGAAATGGTGTTGAAAAGTTTCCGACGAGTTCATCATGCTTGCTTTGATGTCCGCGATCCATGCATTAAGTTGCTGGGCTTCCTAGTTCTCCTCGAACACTGCATCTGTCGCTAAACCCCTAAATACGGTTATATAAGCGATGACCTGAAGGACGTCACATAAGATGAGGTTGGCCCTGCTGTGGCATATCCGGAGCCGCATCATATCGCGCCCTCCGCTGGATACTGCTTAAGCTCAGATGTCCGTGCTAAGCTGACTGGAATGGC